TCTTTTTCATATAGGTCCCAATAGAAACTTGAATGCAATACCACTTGTTTATAAACAATTGGGACTACAACAGGTGCGCAATTATGTGCTCCAATATTGTGCAATCATAAGGTTATTAACATTGTACAATTAAAAGCTTCCAACATCATCTATTTCATATAAGTCCCAAGCAAAAGTTGATTGTGATGCTAGCTATTTGAAATTAGGATTTAAACATGTGTGCAATTATATGCTTCTAAAATTGTGCAGTTATGGGCTTTTAATATTGTGCAATTGCAGACTTCTAACGTTGTCTTTTTCATACAAATTCCAAGTTAAACTTGATTAGAAATTGAGACTCAAATGTGTGTGTAAATACAGGCTTCCAAACATTTTGCAATTACAAGTTTTTAACATTATGCAATTTTTTATATAAGTCCCAAGAATTGAGACTCAGACAATTTTTTGTCACACATGTCAGGAGGCTAAAGAGGGCATCTTGCATATCTCGCAGAGACTGTGTGGGCACAAGTCGTGGAATGCTCTTCAGGCAAATACCTATTTGCAGAATTTTTGGCTTACACTGGATTAATGTTAATCTTAAAAAGAAGGCGGCGATGGAAACGAGGAAATGGAATGACTTATTTGCAATCATGTGTTGGCTACTGCGGAAATGTAGAAATGAGCGTTTCTTCCTCCATACAACTGAACAACTTTCAACGTGTTTAGCAGAAGCTCACGAGGTACTCAAGTGCTTCTCACGGTCCAAGGCTCAAAGCTTGGGTAATGGCCGAGCTTTAATTAGGAGACCAAGCTGCTCCTGAATGCATGGCTAGCGTGAAGGAAGGTTGGCGACGTGTGTTTGTTGATGGAGCCTTCTTTCATAACTCAAGAGCAAGTGGTTGCGGTGGGGTGGTTTACCTTCCGTCTGGTTCTTGCTTGGAGGCTTTTGCATTAAGGTTGCGAGAGGGTGATTCACTCTCAGCTGAGTTGTGGGGTTGTCTCGTGTGTCTCTGACGTGCGGGGGATAAGGATCTTAGGTTAGTCCAACTTTGTTGTGATTCGACTGATGCCATATCACTGATTGGTTCAGGTGCTTCAGACTTGCATGGAGATATTGCTCCTGTTAAAGAAATTCGTAACTTGCTCTAAAGAGATTGGCAAGTCAATTAATCATGAAGAGAATGGAGTTGCTGATTTATTAGCTAAACTTGCCTAAGGTCAAAGCACCGACTTGTAGATTTCTTCTGGCGACGAAGCCAACTTTTTGATCAAGGACGTCGACCCTAGTTGATGATGTCTTGATTATTCTACGTTGAAGTTCACTTTCTTCTTATTTTCCTTTGATCATTAAAAAAAGAAATTGAGGCTCAAATATGTGTGGAAGAACGCAGGTTTCAAGTGAAATTTGACTCTCATACTATTCCAAACATAAAAGAAAATACCAAATGACTTATAAAGAGTGAATGGCATTATATTTTAATTCAAAATTTCAATACTCAAGATTATACAACAATTTATAATTTTTAACTTGAATCCTGAAGTTTGAAAATTTTCAAATTCTCTCTATAAGTTCTAATGTCTCTAGAGCCTCATAATTAAGCAAAACTCTAAAGCAAAGCCACGTTAAAGAGAATGAAAAGATGACACGCCCAACTATCATGTTTAGCCGAATGAAAAGACGATCAGTAAGACATTCTTCCTTTACTCTTGTTTAAAAATCATGTTTAACTACTTCGCTAAAATTAAGGAGAGGTAATTAAATTATTATTTTTTTCAACTTACCTTTATTAAATACATTATTTTTGAAAACAATTTCTCTCCTATAACTTTTTACTCTCTACTTATCAAAAATTATGAAGGGTAAAATTGAAATAATATTTTTTGCCAAAGAAATAAAATAATATGACTTGTATGCAGAACGAGAGGGAGAAAGCTGCAAGCAACTATCGTTTGTGAAGCTTGCCACCGCATTTTACAATGCTCCCAAACTCCTGTCCCAAACTCCCAACACCAAAATCCCATGGAACCAAACCTAACCTCACCGTACTCACATCATGCTTCTTCACCACTATGCCCAACCTGTCCAGCATTCGAATCGGTAACTTAGTAACTTAGGTCAAGCCTTACAAGTTAGTCCAAAAAATCTTAGAATCATGGTCGATAAGCCTAATAAAATTTAGGACAAGCCCAAACAGGTTCCTTTATCATCTTTGGACTTTAATCTCTCTCTCCCTCTCTCTCTCTCTCTCTCTCTCACATCCATTTATAGAAGACAGGAAAAAAAATCATCTTCGGTCTCCAATTCAACTCCTCCCTCTGTTCTCCCTTCTCAGATCACTCAGCATCTCACTCTCTCGCCGAGTTCGTTCTTTACGTTCTTCCTTCGCTCGATCTCTTCTTCTTTCTTCTTCGCTTGCAACTCGTTCGTTCAGAGTTCGGAACTTCGCTCGGCAAACCCACGAGCTCAAGCTTCATCTTCGTCAGCCTTTGGTCTTTTTCTTTGCTTGCCCAGTTCGTGACTTCATATTTGATTGAGAAGTAAGACCGCACAATCACAAGCTCAGATCTAGAGTCATATCGTAGATCTCCATTGGCGTTTCCTCTGCTGCCTTCGTTCTTCACTTCTTCCACAATTTTTTTGGCCGGTTTTCATTAGTTTATCTGGGAGTATTTCTATTTTATTTTATTTACTCCATGTTCTAATAAATGTTATAAAAACCGGACTGGCCATTAAACTGATCGAGTTACTGGTTCACAGTTCAATGGTTGAACCGTGATTTGAACCGTGGTCCAACCGGTCATAAATAAATTAATATATTTTAAATATTATATATTTAAAATAGAAAAAAATAATCATATATAGTAACAAAAATGAATGTTTAAATTTTAAACAAAATAATATACAATAAAAAATTTAACATCCATTAATATTACATTATTTTCATCCAAAACATATACAAGTGTTTCATAATTCATAATTTATAACTTTAAAATATACACATATACATAATCTATACATATTTCATACACTTTTTTATTTCATAATGCTTATTAGGTATAAATATGTATAAATTATAATTTTAAAATATGAATTAAAAATAAAAAATTAAAAAATAATATAATCGGTTCTTGCTCGGTTTTGGCCGGTTTTACTGGTTTGTGGCCGGTTATGCCGATTCTTGACCGGTTCTTGAAATTTGCGATTTTTTGTGATGACCAAACCAGACTTGGGATCAGTTCCTGATTAAATCGGTTGGACCGGTCGATCCGGTCCATTTCTGATAACACTGGTTCTAATCCTTTATTTGTTTTTCTTATGCAATTTCCGAGTCAAAAATAAATAGGAGATATGACACTAAATCTTTTTTTAAAATTATATAAATAATAATTTAATTTTTCAAAATATAATCACAATAAAATTTTTATAAACCTCTTTATCAATAACCTAAAAAAAACCACTTTTCCTTTAATAAAAATAACAAAACTTAATTATAATTTTTATTTTAAAAATTATAACTTTTATCCTGTAAATTACAAAAATTTAATAAAAAATAATAATTTTTTTGTCAAATAAAAAATAATATCATATTAAGTATAATTTTAATTGTTTAAAAATAAATTTTAATTATAATTTTTATTTAAAAAATAATAATTTTTATTCTATGAATCACAAAAGTAGAATAAGAAATTATAATTGATCAAGTATAATTAATAAATTTTATTTACAATTTTTTTAAAGAATAACAAGAATTAAATAAAAAATTATAATTTATTAATAAAACTAAAATAATCTTTTTTAAAAAAAAATTATTAATAAATAAATTCTTAAAAAATTTATTAATATTATAATATTTTAAGAGATCAACTTATCATTACATAATTCTAAGAGATTTCATTTACATTTTCCCTGAGAAAATATAAACAAACCGGAGAAAGCCATCATTCCCTTTCTATCTGACTTTTGGATCCTGCAGACTATTGGAACAATAATAATGCTCTACAAAAAAAAAAGGGGTAAAATATGACCATGATATAATATATTTTAGTTTTTTTTCGAGTGATAATATATTTTTCTTATAGATCTTCATTATTCAATGAAACACAAGTTGTCTTTATTTATTACATGTATATGTATTTTAGAATGTGTTGTTGTATTTATATTGTTTGAAAAATTTCAATTTTTAAATTAAAAATTAGAAATGGTTCAAACAGGGGGAAAATGATTTAAAAAATTTTCAAATATTCAAACTTGTTTAAATAAGCTCAAAACCCAAGAATATTAAGATGAAACTTGATTATATAAATTTGTTATAACTTCAGATATTTTAAATCCAATCTACCCAAATTACCTGCTCCACCCGGCATTACGAGGAAACATAACTTCATTCCTAAAAGATGGAGTCAGGGCTGTCCATGGTTTGTCACCTAGGTAATTACACCTGCAATTGGTCATCACTTGTTCAAAAGAAACAAATCTTGACCTCCGCAAGCAGCGAGAGGATACGTAAGTGTTAATATATATAAACTAAGATGTAATTTTAATCTTTTAATTTTATATAAAATTTTATTTTAATCACTTAATTTTATAAAAAAAAATTATCTTTTATCTTTAATACCGTTAATTTCATCGTAAAATTTTTTTATATTCAACTTTTAAATATTAATAAAATATTATTGAATACTTATATATTAAATTTAATTTTTTAAAATAATAATGATTAATACAAAAAATAATCATTTAAAACTGAAAAAATACTTAATAAAATTAAAAGATTAAATTAAAATTTTATATAAAATTAAATGACCATAAATATACTTTAACCATATATAAATAGTAAATACAACAATGAAGCTATGAGTTTTATTTAAAAAGGGAAAAAGGAGCTTGCTTTATTTTTTCCAATAACTTTCTTTCCAAAATTTCAAGACAACAGAAAGTTGACGCGGGAGGCAAAATGCAATACGAAAACTGAAACATGCATTCAAAATCCAGAGGAATGAGAGAACATACACGTAAATACTGCAAGCTAATTTATTCATAGTTAAAAAGATAGCAATGAATATTATATATATATACGATAGATATTAGCAAATAGAGAGATGGGAACTAAATGATTCATGATATACTTAAATCGATGCTAGCCAATATATTTGCCCTTTGCGCACGTCTTGGGAATACTTAGAATATGGAGCATGCTGTGAGGAAGATCGAACGCTGGAGATTTAACATCCACCTACTCGCTTTCTTCATCACTTTCGATTAAATTCAAATGATTCATGTTCATTTCAATAGGTGGGAGACCATCTTCAGAATCAGAAGAACTCTGACGCTCACCTTCAGGTACAACTGTCCATGCAGCGGCAGCAAAAAGCCGTAAAAATTTTAAAGATACAAAAATAAATGTTATTTGAGAAAAGAGGGAAGAAATACAACAAAACCAACTGGTCTCTCTACATGTCAAAACTAGACTTTCTAAACAACCACCAGTCCATAAGCATAACCAAGGGCATTAGAGACTCCCATACAAGTACAAGACAAAAACTTTCTTCTCAAGTTGCCTTAAAAAGACTGGGGAAAAAATGACAGACTTATCTTGAATTTTATTAAAATTATAAATATTTGCTCAATTGTTAATTGTCTATAGATACATTTCATTCTTCTTTTCCCGAAATACATTCCATAAAAATATTTAAGAGGGGACATAAGGGGATTTAAATCCTTTGAATTTGATATTGGTAAATTTATGTGAAGTTTTCCTTTTTTTAAGAAAGAGAATCTTAAAATTGCACTACAATGTAACAACTTCTTATTTTAGAGAAAATTTGTGTATATTTTGAAAATAAAGAGGAATATGTAATTTCCTCAAAAGTTGAAGTTTCCAATAAATTGAGTCCACAAAGGAAGAGAAAGTACAAAAATTCAACGTATCGTCAGTAAATCCCTTTAGTTCTCTGATTCTCTCAACAAAAACGAACATGATATATCTTTCTTGCTACATACGGAAAACACCAAACCCAAGAGGATGGCCATAACACTAAATTCAAACTGGCTAGGGCATCAATAACCACCAATGCCAAATGTGTAGAGAAGAATTAAGAGTGAAGGTAAGAGAAGAATTAAGAGCGAAGTGTACCTTCGCCATCAAAAGGAGTCCTTTGAATCTGACTCTGTTGTGACAGCCAAGCATTTTGGACAGAAACAATGTCAGAACCATTTTCGCATTTGGAGTAGGCCTTCAGCAGTTCCCTGCATTGATTTATAAAACGAATTTCTGTGGATTAAAAAAAGTTTGTGAAAAGGCACGTCATTGAAGATCAGCACAAAAATTTTCATTCTTTTTAAAAAATATAAGGTAAATCATACAGACTTCTATTAAATTTTGTTAAAATTATGGAGACTGTCTCTCAATTTTCAAAAAATAAAGAACCTTTTTCCTTGAACAGGAAAAAAAAATCTGCAATCATCAGTTTAAGTCCTTGAAAGCTCATTGAATTTGATTTAGCACTTTTTTTATCTAATAAAATCATTCTAGTCCTTACTTAGGACTAAATTGACCTCACTGGCATTTTTCAGGGACCAACGTGATAATGATAAACTTCTACCAGTAATACTTCTTGCAACATTAATCTGAGCTTAGAAAGGGAGGAAAATAAGCTTTGAATTCCATGAGGATAAACAGGTTAAAGTAGGAAGAGTTTTTTTTTGGTCAAGGAATACAGGTCTGACTCTTTTTTTTTCCCCTTCTGACTGTTACTTATTTTATTTTTTTCAATATGGGCTTCCCATAAATAGCCCGACAGTAGCGCAAGTGTCTAGATAAGTTCAACTCTAGCTTCATCCCTCCCTCTCCTTTTCTCACTATCTCCCTTTTTTCTTTCCCTCCCCGCTTTTCTTTTTCACTACTAATCTACACCAAGCTGCCTGACCATCGAACTCATTGTTGTTCAACCAACAAGGATGATGAACTTAAGCTGTGCTGGTATTTCAAATTGCATGCTTTCATAAAGTAAAATAACGTAGTATTCAAAGCATACCGATTCAGTGACATAAAAGCATGACCCCATTTGAACTTGCCAAGCAACAAATTTGCCGTTTCTTCTTCCCCGCTGTAAAACCACCATATAAGAGAATTGGAAATGCGTAACCTTGTCACAAACACACACCCACGTACCCACACACCCTTACCCAAATCAACAATAAGTGAAGCAAAATTTTAACAACAAAACTATAAATAATGATCCAGTAATGCTATAAAGCTGCATACAAAATGCTAAGTAAATTATATAGCTCTACCATGACTCCGTGAGTGAAATAGATTTCCATCCTAATAAAAGACTCCAAATGACAATGATTTCCAAGAAGCTTAAGCTAGGGCCTGGGATGCATAATCTAAATGCATGTTTTATATATAAGTATCATTCCTAGCACAAGTAGCCCGATAGCAAAGAGCCTAAAGAAAACATTAGTAACACAAAATCCAATTACAAGGGAATTACTACTTTTGGCGGGAATGTTGAAAATACTAGAAGCACAATAAAATTGAGATATCAACTCATGACAGCTGTAGCAACTTGTGGAAGCAAGTTTATTGCACAGAAAACAATTTAAAAACAAAAACAAAAGAAACAACTATTTTGGTACCATATTGTTAGAGCAGCAGATAAGGCCTCTACACAAGATAGCTCGCATGGTCGACCATAATTTACTGGGTTTGCTGCCACAAGCCATGGTACTGCAATTTCATACAATATAGCCAGTGATATAAGGATATGAAAGCCAGAGTATGACTGTCATACCAACACCAGTATAGAGGCAATCCAAAATTAAGCAAAACAATATATAAGCCATTGCTAGAGGATACTTATAGCTATTGTGGACCATTATGCTACATGAATCAAGAAACAATGCATTCACACAGGAGGATAAGTTAATACAGAGGCGAGGGGCATTGCAACGCAGCCTCACAAAAGGCACATCATCTAAACGTGCCCATGAGCAATCCACGACAGCCAATCCTTTCTTCTTGATTAAAGGGTAATCTTCTCTTGAGACACATTGCTTTCCAACAGGACTGTCAAAACAGAAGCACAATAGATAATCAATGAATACAAGAGCTCCTAAGATATAGCTGCTCAACAGTAAGAGGAATTTCATTGTTTCTAAAAGGTTAGCTACTGAAAGAATTAACTGACAGGTGCCATCAGTACAATGACAAAACTAGGGAAATTCCTGCATGGGTTGAATAACCAAACACCCAACATCCTACAGTCCAGTCACTCTCCTATGTCAGTCTAGAATTCAACCCAAATAGCGGAAGATTGTATTAACTGATTCATTGCATTCATTTATCATCTTATAAAAGCATAATGAATGAATAGATGCCCAACCACAGAACTCTCAAACTGCCTAACCATCAGCAAAATAATTCAATTTCGAGAAGAGATAGGTTGACAACCATGCAATTGATTGTAGTAGAAGCCATAAATAAGACTGTCAAACTAGATGTAAAAAATGATAAATTATAATATCAAGAATAAGTGTGTAAAGGCTAAAGTACTAAATATTCATACAGCGAAAAGGAAAAACATTTCACTGCTAAGTACCTTAGAACAATGCCCCCAAAACCATTACTGACGCGTAACTCCTGCATAGAATTGTTCGGTCAGGACCAGTGAATAAATAACCATGTTTAGGTCATGCAATTAGACCTTCAGATAATACAAAATTGACAATAAAGGATAGTGATAGAGTATTATGATAGTAAATGATGCTCTTAAATCATTATACTCCCTCTAGTCCTATTTGTAGAAGAAATTTTTGGTGCAAAATGTAGAACACCTTGAAATATTTAAACCACTTTTTTCAACTTTAACCATTCTTAATTAACATGAAGGTATTTAGTGTAGTTATATCACTATTTAAAGTAAAGGGTAAAATTGAAAATATATATCATTTATAATATCAAGAAAAAAAACTAACATTTATTAATATGCATGAAACAATTGAAAATGTCTTACAATAAGAACCGAAGGGAGTACTTCTACTAGCAATAAGTAAACATAGATCGACATTCACTTTGGAAGTAGCAATGGCAGCTAATACCAATAATTAAAACCCTTGGCATCTACTTTCATTATAGAACGTCAGAAGATGTTTTATCCTCACAAATTATGCAGAGGTCCATCTCATCCAACTAGTTCCCACAGATTTTATGGTATCTTGATAGATCCTTGAGCAAGTAATAGCCACATAGTCTACAACTACTTCTCACAGCTGTCCAAAAATGATAAAATCCCTATCATCATATGTTAGTTTAGGGGATAACAATTAGGAATTGTTCAAACTTAGTGATGAAATATAAGAATTAATATATTTTGAAGAAGCCTACTATAAGAGGAAATCTATCTTAATTTTATATTTTATTACTTTTTTATTTTTACTCTATTTAGCAAGTGGGCTGTTTTATCACTTCATGTATTAAATGAGCTGCAAGTAGATGTTTCCTTATAGGGAAGGAAACCTCAAGCTTATATTTTATGTTGCTTTCTGTTTCCTTCATAAGAAGGAAACATTAATTGTGGCTTCTATAAAAGGCCACCATGCAGCACATGCAAGGGAGTTCTTAGATTTGATGAATGAATTCATTTGAAATATTCTGAAAGCTCCCTCCCTCCAGTCTGCGTCCTCTCCCTCTCAGTTCCTCCTCCCTCTTTGTTCTATGCTTCCTCCTCTCATCTCTCTCTCTCTCTCTCTCTCTCTGTATTCTGCCTCTCTCTCCCTCCCTGATCTCAATCTCTCACTCTGTTTCTGCTGTATCTCCCTTTTCCAATTCTGTTCAAATCAGTATGAGCGTGTGTGTGTGTTTTACATCAATTAGTTCTTCTCACTGAACATTATCCATTAAGTAACAATCTATCCAATTACAATCATTGATGGGCCCCATGGCACAGGTGACATAACATTAATGGCAACGAAGCCTGAGGATGGTAATCATGAGCATGGTGACATAGAAGGAGCCCAATACTTCCAATCCAACGTACCTAAAGACCCATTGCAACATATTGGAGGTCCAATGACAAGAGCCCGAACCAAAGCTATGAAGCAAGCCTTATTCAGTCTTGTGCAAGAAGTTCAAGAGCTTGGAGAGCATTGGGGCACTCCCCTCAAGTCCAAAAGAGAGCATCTATATGTGTATAATGTATTTAAGATCCAAACTCATGAAGAGTCAAGCCCAAGAGATGCAGACCTTAGCCCAATGCAAGGAAGACTACAAGTTGAGCCTCTTGCATGCAAGGAGACATGAAACCCTAGTAAAGAAGTCAAGAGTGGCGTGATTTCAAATCCTTTATGATCCCTTGATTGTCTCCTAAATTATTTCCTATTTTAATGGTCCTTTGATTTGATTTTCTATTTTGAGTCTAGTCAAAGGTTAGAATTAATTATAATATTAATTTCTAAATTTTGTAATCCCATAATTTTAGGATCACATCTCCTAAATTATGTGGCTAAATATTTTATCATTATTTCTCCTTTTAGTATTAGGAAATTAGGATTTTAATTTTAGGAAATATTTTTCTATAAGCCTATATAAATTAGGCATGCTCCCTATTGTAAACAGGACAGAAGTTGAATGAAATTATTCATTTTAGAGTTTATAACTCTTGTGAGCCTTAGTGCTTTGTGGTGGTATCCCGTGTGAGAAACCGACGTGATCAAGAGCGTGATCAACTCTTGTGGTGTCTTCGAAGGTTGAGGTTCCTAGAGGCAGGTACTCTAGAGGATCTTCTCCTTGATCATTATCCTATTGTTTACTTCATACCTTTCTTTATTTCCGTCATAAATTTCGTCCCTTTCTTTTTTTTGTTCTTGTGTTTTTGTTGTTTCAGGGTTCTGTCCCTAAACTAGCACGATTCTGCTTCCGCGTCCCTATCAATCATGTTATTAACTTTGATATTTGTGAGACCTATGAATTCTTTTGGAAACTATCAGTGCTATAAGCCATAGCATTCCATAAATAGTTTCAGATATAACAAGATACCATGGATGAAATAAAATACAGGTTAAAGGTCCCTGACTCTCTGTTCAATATGATATTCCAACAGACTGAAATTAACTTTAACCATCTTTTAAGTTTTCCGCTTGCCATTCAGAGCCATGTTGCATTTTGCATCATGTTTGTAAAGCGTGGGCAAGTTTTGTGCCAAAGGAATCATCAATGTGATAGCAGAATTGACATTTATCATCCAAATAACACAGAAACTCTATAAGATATCTGCATATTTGCAGACATATTCATGCTTAGGCCTGTGTGTGTTCATGCAATCACCTAAGCATGTGTCAGAGAGAAAAAACAGAATGAAGAAAGAGAACGAGTACTTGCTTTTAACAAGCCAAATCTTGAAAGCTTGCGTCCTGTGCACCTTTTTATATCACATTGTCCAAAGTCCTGAGTCAAGATCATAAGCAACAATTACATTCAAAATTTAGAGGCACGTTTCATTTAAATACATGGTCTGAATTCACAAGGACGTCCATACTGAACAGAGTTTCTCAAAGACACAGAGGTAAGAGTACACTTCTTAACTTCTTGAAATATAATATTAATAAAACCTTGAAGCTCAAGCAATGTGACAATGATACAAAATGCAGCTTGATCATTTCCAACTTGGAAAGGGTTAAAAAAATTGAGCTTCAAAACATATAGCTATCACAACCCCCACCCCCCTCCTTTCCCATGTTGCCTCTTCTGTCCTGTCAAATGTATGGACAACAATTTTTATAGTTTTAAATCATTTACCATGCTCCAAAAAAGCAAATTTAGAGTTTGTGCACAGGCTGTCTCTGAAAGAAAAGCAAGTTATTTTTTATTTATAAAATTAGCTTGAATATCAATATGCCTGGTTCTTCTATGAAAACCGGATTCTAGATCATTGCCATTGATATATTATCGCAACAATATTTATTTCCTCCATTTTGCTCTTAACCAAGATCTCGCTGTAATATTCTTATCCACATTGCTTGATGAAGTTGTAGCAATATATTCAGCTTCTGAGGATGATAAAGATGTAGTAGCTTACTTCTTCAAACACCAAGACATGACTCCTGGTCAAGAACTACAAATATTGCCTAGAGTGTCCTCCATACATCCTGGCGAATTACTGTCAATAAACTTCCCTAGTTCCCATAGGCAATACACTTTAAAAAATTATAAGGAAAGCATTTGGGTTTCAATCCAAAATAGTAATAAAAGATATCCATACCCACATGGCAAGCTGTATCTTCGGACCCGCGAACTCCTCCTCGTTAGTTACTGCAGTTAGAAATCACAATTACTCACTATCTCCTTTTTCCAAGAAGAAGAGATTGAAGAAAGATAAAGGAGCAATTGGCACCTTGAATGGAACTCTGAGATTCGTCATCCCTGAACAAGTGACGGTGGAGTGAGACGATGAAGCCCGCAAAGAAGAACTAATAAGCTTAAAGAAAAGGTGACTACTAAGCATTGAACATAAAGTGTGGAAAGGAATTACAACACAAGCAGCTGGTCTCGACTGGATTGACCGCGATGGTTGCGATGTCCTCTGAATCTCCTTGGTTTGTTATTTCCCATTCTGCAACGAGGGTGGACACAAATTGACGACGATGAAGCCTTTGTACTGTAATCGTGCTGTAGGTTCACAATTCGCAAATCGCAAAGGACGCAGAGCAAACAGGTTTCTGTCAAGAAGAGCGCGACGGCGCCAAGTGCTGTTTACGACAGGATTAGGTTAGCTCCTTGATCGGAATGAATCATCGATCACGTGATCAGCAAGCAGGGGGATTTTAAGTTGATCTAATATAATAATGAGTAGATTGTGATGATTACGTTAAATTTAATTTAAGTATTCAAAATAAAAAGAAAAATGATCACGAGACAATAAATTCAATTTAAGAAAAATGATTTTAGTTTCTTGAATTTATCTTAATTTTAAATTTAATTTTTTATTAATTTAATTTTTTTATTTTTTTAAATTATTATACCATCTTTTAAATTTTAAAACATAAATTAACTTTTAAATTAATTTAATATATTAAGTCGATGATGTAACACGCATATGTAATTAAATTATAACGAATTAATTTTTAAATTAATTTAATCTTTATCAATATATGTTGCATTTTAATCTTTTATTTTTAAAATTCTTTAGTCTTTTTTTTAAATGATAAAAAAATCATTTTAAAATGTGAAAATAATAATAAAATCTTGTAAAATATGATAATTTCTCTTAAATTTTTGAGGACCTTTCTAATATTGATATTTTTTTATAAAATAACTATAACATCTCCAATTTTAAATAAAAAGAAGTAAAGTGATACCTATTATTTGCTATACCATTTTAGTCATTATTTAAGAAAAAAAAGTAATTATAATTTAAATCAAAATAGTCATTGATATTTATAAAATTTGAGCTATAATTACTTGTTTATCTTTAATTATTGCTAAAAAATAGTAATTATTGTTTAAATTAAAATAATTTTTGATATTCATGACACTTAGATTATAGTGATTGAAAAGTTACACAATAAAGCTTGCTATTTACTATCCCTTTTTTATCATTATTAAAAAAATAATAATCATTACTTAAATTAAAATAATCATTACATTTTTTAATTTAAATTAAGAATATTATAATCATGTTACAAATAACATTAATGTCAAAAAATTTTAAAAAAAATTGAAAATAATTATTATATTGTATAAAATTTCATTGTCATTATTTCAGAAGGATTTTGACGTCGTTCTCCCTTCCTTTCTGCCTGCTAAATAATTATTATCATTGATATATTTTATTACATTGTCAAAAAAAATTGAGCAATTTTTTCTTTTTTGTTTTGATACATGAATGGGGCCAGGGGCCCAAATCAAACAAACGACAAAAACGGCAACACAAACTACTATTCTCCCCTCTACAGCCCGAAACCACAACTATCAGCCTAAGAAACAAAACCAGTTTCGCAGCATCAATCATATGCCACCGTACATGAGCGTTAGTAAATTACTAAATTCAAGGAAGAATGGTACTGCAGGCTTGCGAAACAACTTATACATTTGCATTAAAGGCCTAATAAAATGTGAAATAATTCTATAAGCCCAAATATCTCTCTTGTAATTAAGTTTTTCCATGAAAAAAAAAAGTTTTTCCTTTATAAAACAAACGGACTTTTTGTTGAAAATGAATAGACTTTAATTATTATTTATAAACTTTTCTTACAAATTTTATTTGATATAATTTGTAAATTTTTTCCCATTCACGAGTGTAAACCAAATGGATCATGTGAGATAAATAAATATTTTATTATAAATAAATAAAATTTGAATTTTATTTGTAGAGTTTGTGTTATAAATTTTATCTGAATAACTTGTATATTTTCTCTCATTTAACAAGTGTAAATCATGTGGACTACATAAAATAAATTAATAATTTGTTGCTAGTAAATAAACTTTAAATGTTATTTATGGAGTTTTTGTTGTAAATATTATATGGGTAATTTGTAAATTTGTTGCTCCTTTAAGTGTAAACTATGCATACTATGTGAAATCAATGATGTTTTATTATTAATAAATAAACTTTGAATATTATTTATGAATTTTTTGTTGTGTATTTCACAGAAGGGCAGCTCTATTTTTTATCAAAAACTTAATTGTAAGAAAGACATTTAGATACGCAAAATTATTTCAAATTCTATTAGATTATTGATGCAAATATATTGGTTCTAGGAGCCTGTAATGTAATTCTCTTTCAATTTTAATAGTATTACTTTCTTCCCAAACAACAAAGATCAAATTAATAACTGATACTAACTTAAGGAACCAAATCAATAAAAATTAAATTTAAACCAATAATCAATACAAACTTGAATGATAAAAAAATTATCATCCTTGTCTCAAAAAAGAGGGCAAATAATAATCCAAATCGAATTAAGCATGCATTTTTTCAAAATACAAGGACACAAAAAAAAAACATGTGAGGAAATATCTAATTCATGTCGGAGTTAATAATGCTTCTGTACCCTGTGGGTCGATCTACAAAAATCACAGTGTTTAAAATCATCAAGCGAGTGATGAGCAAGCCAATCAACGCATCTACTTGCTTCTTAAAAAATATGATAAAAAGTCACAATCCAATTTCTTATTCGTAAATCCTTGATCCTATTTATAGTATTAGAGAGAGGATGGTTCTAGTTGTATTCATGTTGAATGAATATGAGAGCTTTAATTGAATTTAATTAAACATTAACTTTAGTAAAAGTTGCATTCCAACAAAGGCTAAATCCTTATTGGACACCTATGTGCTTTATTATAGTGCTAGGTAAGTAACCAATATATCTGGAAAAAAACCCTTTATCCAATTTTCCTCATCATCACAAATGAGCTCTTCATAGGTAGCAAAGCCATTAATATCCAGCCTAATCATGGTCTAAAGACTGTATGTTGAATTTTAGCTGAAGAATGAGATCATTGATAATATATTGTGTGTAGAAGAAGGCAATTTCTTATGTATAGGAGAAGGCGGTATCTTTAACGGGAGGGTCCTCTCTATAGTAGATGAATTTGCATATTTCTTTACGTATATTTCAAAAAAACACGAGCAAAAAGTCTCTACCCCCAACTTTTATTTTTTATTTTTGGCTTTTTTACTATAGAGATATAAGACTTGTAATTATATGTATCATCCATCTCTTGTCACAACTCTATCAAGGGAGATTTATGGGTTTTGTTTAGAGGACAATAACTAGCATTCCCTATGCTAAAAGCTATTTTTCTTTTAATTGTTTGGTTCTTTTTAATCTTAGGTTGTGTTATTGAGTCTGATAGTCATTCAATCAATGCTTGAGGTGCATGGTAGAAAATGAGGCTAAGCCTATACATTAGTTCACCAGTATACAAAATAAAGGATTGAATCCCTCAAGAATCTTAATTCACCAAAGAGATTATCTTATTAGAGGGCACCTCCATCACTATGCATTTACTAGCTTGGTTCATGCTCTTCTTTATAAGCCAATTTGCACAAACATTACCCTCTTTAAATGCATGTTTGACCAAAATCTCTACATCATCATTCAGAAAATTGAGGTCATGTTCTAACTACCAATGTTCACTTTAACTAATGTTTAAAAGGTATTGGAGTTACTGGCAAGTAGAAATTGAATCGCTTTCCACAATAAGTTTCTTTATATTAAAATCCTTTGCAATCTTGAGCCTATGATAAATGCTTCACAACTCAACTTTTAAGGGGGAGTAATGTCCTATGTCACATATGAAACCAACCAACCAATTTCAATCCTCGTTTCAAAACAATCCCTCGCATCTTAATCACTCAAGGTGCCTTTGCACTGATTCATCCTCATTCAATTTCACCCCACTTATAGGGTGGACATTCCTACTTAACCTTTGCTCAAGCCAAGGGTATACCATAAGAATTGCTCAAAAAAACTATTATGAATAAAGTTTACGAAGCTAGTAATCTTCTTAACTAATTTGATGATACTAGAGTTAGCATTATTGAAAACACGATCATTATGCTGCCTTTAGAGAGACCAAGTGGTAACCTTAAAAACAATAGCCCAATGAGAAAGCTCATAATGCATCTTGCGGTTAAGATTCCAATAAAACCAATCATGATTATTCTGAGACATATATATCACACACCATTAAAAAACAAAAGATTAACATTTTCCAAACACTCCAAACAATATTATAATCCTTTAAAATGTGTATAATATCTTCCATTTTAGAGGCACATGTTTCACACACCTCTGAAGAACTAAAGATTTTGTTTTGTCGTTGGGCAGTCACAATCCTCTCGTGTAAATCCATTGACATGAAAAGTTGAATTCTTCATGGTCCCTTTAATTTCCATGCAATATTCCAAATTTGATCTTGAGCTCCGATAAGAGCACTTTAAATGACTTTTTACATATAAGATATTGTAAATTATCCATTAACTTGAAGCATTCACTTGAAACTACTGTTCTCATAATCTCTTAGAGGAGGAGGATGGCCTTTAATTAAAAGAATATCCTCCAGAGGTAGAAAATTCATCAATCTATCCGTCCTCCATCCATCATTTCCATTCACCATGTTACCAACAGTACAACTGGCAAGCTCTTTTGGGATTAGATTAGCACATCTCTCAATAAGCAGCTTGCTATTGTCCAACCACCTATCTTTCCAAAATAAAGTGCTAGTATTATCATAAACATCACTAGCAATATGCGACACAATTTGTGCTAAAGTTAAACTAAACCATTCCATAAAAGAGAATCATTTTGCTTTACAATTGCAAATTTAGTAAGATCCTTAGCTCTCACATACTTGCTAGCAACAATCCTAATGCAAAGATTATTTAACTTGGAATATTTACCAAGTCACGCATTGTTCATTATAGCTATGTCTCTAAACCTATATCCTCCCCTTTCTTTAGGTTCACATAATGTTTTCCAACTAATGGCATGAACACTCCGTTGCTCCAGATAAACCTCCTATAGATCTTCTCAATCTCATTACAAATAGAGGTCGGGACCTTACTATGCTATATATGGTGGCAAGGAATTTGAGAAGTAATTGATTGAGCCACATTCTTGGAGAAAAAGATTATAGTGTTTTCCATGCTTACCTTCTACCTGAAAACAACATTAAAATTTTTTAAGGTTATTAGCACTATATCCAATTGAGCCACACTTGCTTCACAGAAGGAGATTACTAATTTAATACTCCATTATTTATGAATTACACCCTAATAAAATAATTATTTGTCTATAAATTAACACTATATTTCTATATCCACCTCTATTTAATAAGATATTTTACTTTGAAATAAACATAAAATGATTTTTTTATTAGGGACACTTTTGGAAAACATGCATTAATCATACATCAAAATATCAATAATGTCTGGTATTTTTTAACATATAAACCTTAAAAAAAATGTCTACTATTTTTAAATGGAGGGGCTATGTATTCATACTAATTTTTGTGAGTTTGAAAAGTTTAGAGCTTTTGATTACTTTCAATTATACTTCCTTGAATTTTGTACTGTCACCAAGGAAAATTAAGCTTATCCAAGTGGCATAAAACCAAGCCAAGCCTACCCAAAATTAAGTACTTTCTCACATTTTATTGTTTGAAAAAAAATAAAGAGATGGAAGTGCATCTTAAAAGTACCTTGAGAATGTTATTAAAAGTGAATTTGAAAAATGTAAGATAATGAAGCTTTTGAAAAATGCATTTTGAAACTAGGGCCTAATTTGACTATGATATCCCAAGTATAATATGTTGTTCTTTTATTTAAAAATATTGTTAATTCATTGTATCTGCAACAATCATTTAAATGATGATAATTAACTATCAAGTTTTTAGCATTGTGTATTGAATAACTAATTATGTTAATTTTTAGCATTGATATATATTCAAATGTTTATAAAATTTTTGTCCAATAAATCAAATTTTATGTTTTATACTTCTATTATTCAATATATCAATTTTTATATTATTTAAAATTTTTATTGGCTCATAAAGATTTGCCTAGTTGATTAAAATTTGTTTGAACAAAAATGCATCATATATATTTTTTGATCATGTTAATTTTTAATATTAATACACGTTAAACTATTTATTATATGATTTTTTTTAACATATCAAACTTTATATTTTTTATTCTTATCATTTAACATATTAAGTTTGATGTTATATTAAGTTTTTCTCTCACATTTTTAAACATTTTTAATATATTATATTTACATAACAACAATTATAAATAATTATAAATTAATGTCTTTTTTATTATTATATATTTAAAATACATTTTAAAAATATAAGCACTCATTAGTTTAAATAATTTTTAGTTTATCAAACAAACTTTAAAAAAAATCAGCCTGTAATTAATATAATTTTAATTATACTAATTAAATTTATTAAATTAAATTTTGTTAAATAAATTTTTAACAAATTAATATTTTCCAAACTGAAAATAAGACACAAACTCAATAATCATAAAGTTGATGGTTTGAGTTCTACGAACCAAATCGAGCCAAGGGGCCATGACCGATGATGCCGGATGTCATCGGTATCTTTCTTTGTTTTATTGACAAAAATTATATTTGATTATTTTTTAAATTTTTAATTCTAAATTCTAAATTCCAAATTCTAATACTGTCCGCGGCCAGTGGCTCACGCTTTGCAGTTTGCCGAGACTGTAACATTGTCATTAGCAAATTCAGACACCTTCCCGGACCACGTTAAACTCCTTGAGATATCATTCCGTCCACAAGCACCTGTAGATTCACCCACATTACAAACTTCGATCTTCCTTCAGCTCCAATAGCCTGCTTCTTTCAATTAACCAGTTTCGGTGCTGAAAACTCATATAAAGGTACAGAAGATTGATTCCACTGTCATCAAGCTAGCAGCCGTTCAATTTCCTTCTCCTGGCTCACTATTCTCCTAAAATCGTTTTAGGCAAGGTGCAGGAAATTCTTTTCTGGTCCAGTTTTAATCTCTCGGAGGTGCATAACTCACTGCAATGTTGCGGAGGTAAGTATAAGCATTTTTGACGTCTTGTTAACATCTAGCACTCTCGTTGCGGAAACTTTCTGGTTTCTGCGCTGAAGAGAGATCATAAGCATTTTCGTCTGCGGCTCTAACTCAGTTTTAATCCCAATGATTCGCGAACACTCCAGTTGTTTAACTGGCTGCGATTTCATCGTGCCATATGCATAGACTGATTCCACGTGGTTGAATTGCAGATCCATTTTGGAAATATCATCCCGACGAACTCTTGCAATAAACCCTAGACATTTTACAAATCGGGTGCGTTGCTTGTGCTGCAATTATTTAACTCAATATATGAAATATATATTCATGTGGCCTTATGGAGACTGATTCATAGATAAATGTATGACACGCATTCTGTGAAATATACATGTGTAGTGGATCTGGATTTGTTGTCAATCCACGTATTTCAATCTGTCACGAGCTAGTTTTGCTTGTCACTTCAATCATGAAGTCTTCTCCTTCAACTTTTAGTTAACCAGGTCAGGACCTAGGAGTTGGTGCCTCCTGTATATCTGTGAACTATTGCTTCAAAATTGGCAGTTTATCTGCTCAGGGAGAATTATCTAGCACTCGAACAATATTTCCTCTTTGGATTTCTTACTGATCCAAAAGTCTTTTCCTTTTTAAATACTTTGCGTGCTCATAAATGCTTGAGAAATAAATAAAAAGTAATGAATTATCATAAAGGAGGAAAACTTTACATTTACTTGGTTTTAGAAGAAAGGACCAAAATTATCCGTATCATTATCATTTTCTACTTAATTTCTCTCCTCTAAACCAAATGGCCTAATCCCCCTAGCACGCTATGGGTGATTTTAAATTTCTTCCCATATCATCTGGCGTTTGGCATATTTGTGCAATTAGTATACTTGATCCTACAGAATACAAGATATAGATATGGCAATAGGAGAATATGGTTGAGGCGTTTTAAAACCAAATCCTAGGGAGGAAGCCAACACTGTTTTAAAACTATGTCAGCTAGCTGATAAATAAGAAGGAAGAGTTCTGATGTCCTGTTAGAGTAGCCGGGCTAAATGACTGGTTGGATTGCATCAATTTCAAGTCTGGAAAAGTACATAACCTACAAAAGCTAAAGCATGACGGGAAAAAAAGAACATAAATTCATCGTGCCAATAGCACAAGTTCTTAGAATATCTTACCATTTTTCAAGCTAGCAAGAGTTCTTGTTACGATTTCTGTGGAACACCACTCTTGCCTGCATTTGTGGGAACTGTGAAGTGTCCTGCTGTTGCATGTATTGTCAAAGCATTATGCGCCCAGCAAAACATATGATTAAGCAGCATATTTTGTGATTTTATTTCATCTCATACAGGTTTTTAAATTTGAAGTATTGTTACTTAGTGTTAACTTATGACATCATTAGCAGCAATGCAGTAAATATTGTCTGCATATATCTCACGTATGTAACACAATGAACAGTTTATCATTTGACGATCAGAAATAGGATAGGAGAGATGCCAATGTTGAAACACCTTTCTTCTCGCTCTATAAGTATAATTAGGTTATCATCCCATTAGATGCAGTAATTTTCTTGGCCCATACACTTGGTATGAACAAATTCGGTTGCTGATTTTGGTAATATTTATTCCTTAATTTAAACTGGTAAATTATTATGCTTATTTTCTAATTTATTGTCCTCTTTTCCTTGTTGCATAATTCAGGCAATACCTTCACGTCTGTCTTTGCGAAAGAAATTCTCAACTGCATCTAAATTAGGTGGGGCCTCTATTCCTGGCTCCACGGGCAAGCCACCTGAATCTCAAGGCTCTTTGTCAAAGTTTGTCATTGGCAGTTTTGCTGTTGGTGCTGCTTTTTTGGCAGCCTACCAAACTGGTTATTTGGACCAATATCTTAGGAAGGCCCAACGCAGTGTTCCCCAGGATGTGGAGATTAATGCTACCAATGAAGATTCTAAAACCCCCCAACATTCAGTGGAACTGTTAGTATCACCTAGCAGTGAGAAATTGAGCAGTGAAAGTCCTTCTCCAGAGCCTGCAGAGCAGAAGATGGATGCCCAACTTCCTGTTCTTCAAAATTTGACAGAAGATGTTGGTGATAATCAGATTCAAGTGCAAGACAAATCTGATAATGATGGAGAGGGTACCGTCTTTGCCAAAAAAAGTGAGCTTCCTGAATTTCCTCAAAGCAATGCAGCATCTGACAATTTAGGTAGGGAGTCTTTGGTACAACCAAAAGAGATTGATGACATGAGCAGAGAGACTGACACTGCCATGGGACTAGAAGGGGGAACTCAACAAGCAACCACATCTACTTTCACCACTGCTGGTCCAGATGAAAAAGGGGTTGAAAACAATGAATCACTGCAACAGGTGATGGAGGAAAGAAGAGAGGTACTTATGAGTTTTCCGTAGTTTAATTTTCTGGTTAATATTTGAAATTTCCAGTGACCTTTTAGGTATCTATGTTGGATTAGCTTCACTGATAGCATGTAAGCTTATATGATTTAGTTACTCCCTAGCAATTTCAAGTAATGTTTGAGTGTCAAAGGTGGGCCATTGCAGCATTATTTCAAGGATGGAAATGATTGAATCCTTCACTATTTCCCCCTTTCTTTCTGTATTTTGTTGCACTTCTGATTCTACATCCAAACCTTTTATATCTTCTGTAAGTAAGGATTACTTGAAATCCATCATTGTTTGAATCGCATTTTGATTTTTATTACTTTTGCATGAGGTTCTTTTCATTGTTACTTCAATGCAGGACACGGTAGATAATGACCTAGAACAGCCTTCTCCTCTTCTTGAGGAATATCACTTAAGGGATAAGGATGAAAAAAGTGCTGGAACTTTTTTGAGTAGTGAAGGGTTTACTGAGAACAGCCAATTTTATGAAGAAAAAGAGGTTGCTGTCTGGATCTTACTTTTATTTTAATTATTATATTTGTGGTTTAATAATTCTTAGTCTTGGTATGTTGCTGAAAATAACACCATCGTGCATGAAAAGTTGAACCTAACTCATTTCTTTGAAACACTAGGCGCTTAGTTGTGTGATGGAGGGGTTGAAAGATGGATACATTTCTAAGGATGGTAAAGTGGTTCTTGATTTCTTACAAGCAATCCATGCTGCTGAGAAAAGGCAAGCTGACTTGGATGCACGTGTTTTTAATGAAGAGAAGAAAATGTTGAGGGTTTGGCCTATAACTATAGCTTCTATGACCTATATGACTTATTTAACACTGTATTCAACTTTGCTTAGCATTTTCACTTTTTTTTTATATATATATTTTGTATAATTTGATGAGCTTTGTCTTATTTTGTTCTCATCTCTTTGTTCATGGTAGGAGAAGTATGAAAAAAGGTTGAAAGATGCAGCTGCTAGAGAACTTATGCGTGCTGAAGAGGCTGCAATGTTGGATAAGGTTAGGAAATTTTTTATTTTCTCCTTTCATTTTCAACCCAATCTTCACTAGTTGGTTTTTCCTGTCAACACATGAATTGGAATTGCATGAGTGTAAGAAAGACAATGGATGACTGCTAATTCAATCCCTCAAACAGAGATAACCTAGTGTAAACATTTGCTGTTTGCTTTATGTGAAGTTCTGAATTTAACTCAACTATTGTTGCTATTTTTTTTACTAAGCATAATAATTTGGTGAAAAGTGAATCAATACTATTCTGTTCAATTTGACTCAATAAGTTGCACATAGATTATCTGAATGGAATTGATCGTTAAGCCTGTTAGATGTATTTTTTGAAATGTGATCACAGCTTGTCCATTGATATACGTGGTGTTATCTTAGTATGTGCTGCTTTATGTTTGCTTACAAGTTTCAATCTGTTTGTCAATGTGCCTATTTTTTAAAAGAATATAAGCTCATCTGTTTCCTTGTGTTTTTATACTTTTCAGGAGCTAAAACGAGAAAGAGCTAAAGCAGCCCTTGCTATCAAATCACTTCAAGAAAAGATGGAAGAGAAACTTAAGATTGAACTAGAACAAAAGGTGCTCATTTAGTTTTATGTTGGAAATGTTAGTGCTGTTCCCCCTTTCTTTCTCCACCTCTCTATCTACTCATCTTGTCTGCTGTCAGCTTATGAATTTTGTTAAAACAAAGCCACTTTTTGGGAGATTGCAGGAAAGTGAAGCAGAAATGAAGTTGAAAAAAGTTCGGGAATTAGCTGAGGCAGAGTTAAATGCAGCCATAGCAAATGAGAAGTCAGCCCAACTTGAAAAATTGCTTGAAGCATATGTTGATGTGAGGCTTCTGTTGAAATTAAGAATGGCTGGATAAAGCTATATCTAGATTAATCATAGTTTAATGAGTACATTTCCATAATTCTATAAAAAGAGATATGATTTCAAGAAGTGGTGTATGGAAGAATGAGCAAGCAAATGGTTTGTTTTGCCCATTATATGCTGCAGATAAAAAATAAAATAATAAGATAAATTTTTTCTTCTATTAAGATGAATTTTGTTTGCTTTGCCTTTTAAAGCTTGCTAGCCAACTCCCAGTTATGGTTTTATCTTTCTTCTGCAATAGAATGCCATGAGCCAGCTAAATGCTGCTGATTAGATGATTGCATTCCAAGTCATGACAGCATCTTAATGCAAAAAAGCTTCTTTTTTGTTGGGTAAATAATCAACTTTCCATCATTCTCAGGGAACAAATGTTTCATGTTCAAATACGTGCTTGAACATCAAGGAATTGTTTAAGAATGCAGAAGGGAAAGAAATATAGTTCCTATGTCCACTACTTATAGTAGAGTTGATCCCATGCTATTTTCTGTGAATACAAACAACGTAACCACTATTTTGTTTCAGTCATCTCCTGTTTTATTGGGATGTAAACCTGGGGAAATGTTGAGTAAACTGTCAAAGGCAACTTTTAGTTTAGTTGTATTAATCCCAGAGCGCTCTATGACAAAATGGTGAACAGAAGTTACATTCTTGCCTTAATATTATGCCATGCCCCCCCCCCCGGGCGGGAAGATGAATCACTGCACTCTTAAGTTTATTTGTGACATATCTTATTTGTGCTGATTGCGGATTAGCCACCATTGTGTAACAGAAACCATGGTTTTCCTTCATCTGAATGTGCTGTCATTCAAATAAACTGTGATTGTACTGAAATTGCTGGCTTTGTTACATTATGCAAATAGAAGCTTCTAAACATTTATCAAAGAACATTTGTTGGCAATGAAAATGGCAAAACACCGGTTATGCTTCTCAATAGTTACTGTCATCCCTTGGTTGGAGGGGGTTGGTTTGGATTTATATTTGTTCTTGGGTGTCAGTCATACTTATTCATTTTCTTCCAATTATCTATATTGTGTATTGGCCATTAAAATTTTCCTTCCCTCCAATTCTAGATAAATGCCTTAAGCATGGCATTTTATGCTCGATCTGAAGAAGCGCGTCAAAGTCATGCTGCAAACCATTTTTCTATGGTAAATTTTGTTTTTCTAATTTTTTTCTTGCTGTTATTTTCTCTTTGCCATTAATCGAGATCTCTTGTTAAATAGCCTATTGGTAGAATTGATTTCGGACAAGGCACGATAATCATATAATCCATGTAGCCGACCCCCTTTTTTAGTAGGATAAGGCTTTTGTTTTTGTTGTTGCTGTTGTTCTTTTCTCTTTCTTTAATAGAAGAGCCTAAAGATTCAATGCGATTATCTAGTATTTTAATTAAATTTTGCAGTTTTGCCTAGTAGTTTGTTATGACCCCCTACTTGAAATCTGCAGGGAGCCCTTGCCCTGGAAGATGCACTGTCAAAAGGATTGCCCATTCATGAAGAAGTTGCATCTTTGAAGTCACATCTTGAAGGCGTAGATAAAGATTCAGTTTTAGAATTGGTGCTAGCATCCCTTCCTGAAGAGACAAAGAACATTGGCACAGACACGCAACTGCTGTTAAAACAGAAGGCAATTTTCTGTTATTGAACTTAACATTACTTGTTACATTTATTGATTATTGATTCTGTTAATTGTCACCATTTTGCAATCTGATGGACGTCTGTAACTAATGGGACAAGGGTACTAGAGACCTGTGTGAAAGAGGGAATAGAGTGCTTGTAACTAGTTGTCAATGGGATAAGAGGGGGAGGAGAAAGAGAGTAGGTTGTTGATGGGGAATACATGAAAGGGTTGTGGGTCAGGGGAGGGAAGTGAGAATTCAGTTTTGGGAAGGAGATATTCTTTCCTCTTGAATGCCAGAGAGCTTCCTTTCAGCCGTATCTTGTTTTCATGCATCATGTTTTCTTTTTATCTTTCTGTAATCATCTAAGGCTGTTAACTTCCATCCACTCCCTATTTCAAGAGAATTATAACTCCAATTCTACCTAAATAATGCGAGAAATTCAGAGGTTTCTACACAATCCAATCAACCTTGTTTTTCTTTAAGAGGTGAATGTTTAACTTCGTTACAGTGGTAGCTGACGGCAGAAACCTTTAATTGCATCCTAACTGATGGGGCAGTAACTTTTCAAGGATGTCATTTGTTATGCTTTTTTGTTGACGATTATTTGATCTGACCACTGTAGTGATTATAATCATAAAATTTTTGTATCTTCTGTGCACTATAATTTTGTTAGATACAAATGATTTCTGACAAAAAAAAAAAGTTAGATACATATTGATGAAGTTCCCCACTCATTTCTAAACATCATTACAAGCTGGTATGCAATTTCTGAAAGGTTGATGCAATGGTTAGAAATGCTAAACACTGATACACGTATTATCCCCCAGTTTTTTGAGTTCCATTCTCTAGCAATTACTCATAGGTATATTTTCGGTACTCATATTCAGAAGTCCTGAGGATCTGTTTAGGGGTTCTGTACTGGCTGGAAGTTCATCGTATGATTCTGGTTTCCCTATTGATTTCATCATCTTCCATATCAAGGACCAATCCCATACCTTTAAACCTTCGACCTACATGCTTATGTCATATCTTTTGAATCTTCCTTTGTGATTATTATTATTATTATTATTATTATTATTTTTTTTCCCCACAAAACAGCATGCTTGATTACTGAAGCAATTTCTAGAAACTATAGGACAACGTAGCTTATGTTAGACTTGTCTGTAGGTTCAAATCCCTCTCTTTCTGCACTTTTACCTAATCCATTATTGTTATTGGCTGCAATGTTTCAAGAAATGTCTTCTCGGGAGTCTACAATGAATTATCCAATTGGAATTTCATTAATGAATTTTTCTAATTTGTTTCTGTTCTTTGGCAGTTTGATTCTCTAAAAGGTGCAATACGACATTTCAGTTTCTTTCCACCCGGAGGTGGAGGGATGTTGGCACATTCTTTGGCTCATGTAGCATGCTGGTTAAAGGTATGCAGAATATTTTCAAATCAAAGTGGTCATGTAAGGCTGTATTTGTTAGTAGTGAAAATGGAAGAACAGTGTATTTTAAACACTGACTCTTTTTATTGCTACTCTTCGCTTTTCCCTTTTCCCTTTTCACTTCTATCAAGCACATCCTAGATCAGCAGACACCAGATATAAACAGATGTTCGTCTCTGACTTGTATTCACCATTCAGGTTAGGGAAGCTGATCAGTCAGGTGATGGGATTGAATCCATTATAAATAGAGTTGAGTTTTACTTGGCTGAAGGAAAACTTGCTGAAGCAGCTGACGTTCTGGAAGAAAGTGTCAGAGGCACACAAGCTGCAGAAATTGTTGCAGATTGGGTGAGACAAGCAAGAAACAGAGCTATTTCTGAGCAGGCTTTAGCTCTTCTCCAGTCTTATGCCTCTTCCATTAGCCTGACATGAATCTTAAATCGGGAATATCCACAGAACCATATTGATTTAAACCCTGAGCAGGCAGGGATTATCTGATTCTCTCAAGCTGCTAGCTGGAATTGCCTAATTGTTCAACCCCAAGGAACGCAAGCTACCTTCTCTTTCTTATCAGTTGAAGTGGCTGATTATATCTTTTTCCCTTGCATTAATGTAACTCCAATGGCTGGAGTGATGTTAGGATCACAGTAAATTGAAGTGTTCGCTACGGAAAATTCAATAACCACCAAGACCAACAGGACAAAATGATTGAGTGCCAAATGCCTCTCAACGTTAGTGCTTTCGATTTACAGCATATGTCTATTTCATTAGCAGACTTGATTAATTGGTGGATCGAGTTGCGAGTTTTGTTGTTAGGTTTCAGGCTCAAATTTCTGTAAAACGACTCAAGTTTGAACCTCTACCGCACCCTATGAGGAGATCTGGCAAGCTGTTCTCTTTTACATAAATTTCCCCCCATTTTCCTAAATGGTTGCCATTTAGGGACGGTTTTGTCACATGTCCTTAGCGAGCCCAGGAATAGCTTCATTCACGCGAAGTATGGCAGTCCCTTCTAGTCCGTTTGGGTTGAATAAATCTACATTTGATACCTTCATTAAGTCATGTTCGCAAGAACTGCAGGATTTATGGATCACATCTGACTTTATATCATGAGTTTTCTGGTCCGACGTTACTTTCATAATGCTTGAATTTCTTAAAACAACTGACAGCAGCCAATGACGAGTCCTGAGTGATGGTATGTTCTTGAAATATCCCGCTATGTTTTTTTATTTTATTTTAAATGAAATATCCCGCCTACGTTTTTCTAGTTTGGCGAAACACTTTTTGGGAAAAGCATTGTAGTTGTCGGAAAAAAACATGGGATATGCACATGATAGTAGATACGACTATAAATAACCGGTTAGGAACTGTATCGCACTGTTTTTAAATGGAAATTTAATGTGAATATTAATATTAATTAGTCATAACTTACTAACGTGAACGATCTTTTCAACTGTATATCATTATTTTTTTTTAAAAATCGTTTTTCTAAATTATTTTTGGCAGCAATTATTGGGCCGCTTAGTTATTGCTTTTTGCCTTTTTGGACCGAATAGCTTCTTCCATTTTCCTTATCTGGGATAAATCGAGAACAATTTTACAGTAAACACGTAATTTGAAATTTTTTTATAAACAATTTGAAGTGTTTAAATTGTATTTAGAATATTTAAATTTTAACAGGAAATTTATTTATTTATTTTTATTATATTTAAATTTTATAATTAAATGATTGTTTTCATTTTGATTTTTATTTAATTTCAAAAATATATTAAAAATTAATTACGGACAGTTCTGAAATGTTTGATAAAAGTACCATGCCCAAGCGTGTTGTTACGGAGTAGGAAATCATGATTTTTTAAAATGGTTAAATAAATAAATTACTTTATAAATTTTAAGTTTAATAGCACCATATACCTTCAACTATTTATTATGCCAATTATTCTTTCAATTTTTAAAAACATTACAATTTAATCTTTATTATTAATAAAAGTTAATTTTAATCATTAGTTGATCAGAAAATTACAACAAAAAAATCAAAAATTACATAAAATGATCAACAAATTGTTGGTCCTTTTTTATAATTTTTTAGGTTATTGTTTGTAATTTTTGATATTCTTTTCTGTTAATTTTTGATCAACTAATAGTTAAATTTAACTTTTGTTAGTGATAGGAGTGAGATTATACTGTTTTTAAAAGTTGAGGAAATAATTTTTACAATAAAAGATTCTAAGATTTATGATACTGCTAAATTTAAAGTTTAAAAAATAATTTACTTATTTATCCTTTTTTAAATTTTAGTGATACAAAAATCGCAATACTCCCATTAATCATATAGTTGTAAGGCCCATAAGTTAAATCTTTTACCTTAAAGCAAAATATAGCACTTTGAATAAGTTTGTATGAGAAAAATAATATATTTCATTATTTAGATGGACAAAATAATAAATGCAATTCATCCTTATGAAATTTTATATGACAAAAAAACAATCTACTGGGCCTGGTGAAATTATGTGGAAAAAAAAATCATGGAATTTCTTTACCAAAAAAAAATCATGGAATTTCTTATCAATTAGGAGTCCAAGTTGAGGGAAATGTGAAATTATGATGGGTTGAGCGAGATTTCATTGGCTCATGCCCTCACGACTTCACCTAATCCTTCTCTTATGCATGCCAGCTGAAGCCTGCAAGTTGACCGGTTTTATTTTTGTTTTCCCCGTACTGAAGACGTGCTACATTTAATGCTCATAATCAAAACAAATCATTTGGACAACCAGTTTATACCCTAAATCCTTCTCTTTTAAATCCCTTTAGCCAACTTGAACGTGTTGCTCTATTGATCAGCTACCACCTTTACACCTCTGTTAGCTTTCGTGGGCTAGCAGATCCTTCTGACTTTCAAGCTAAGGAGAAAGAAGGGTGTGGTTATGAAGTCATTAATCCTGTGATCTCGATCAACTTCTTTCTCCACAATATATCTGTTGGCCTGTCTTAATTTTCTCATCAAACAGAGCTGTTCATGCATCAAATAAAGAAACAAACTCCAATATTAACGTTAATTATTACTAGGACTTTGAATTTTTACATCCACTAATTATACTTTCCCTCTACATCTAGTTACTGGTTTAAATGAAAAGTTAAATATTAACAAGTATGATTTTTTTTTTTAACCAACAGAGAAAGAACTTTTAACTCAAGTATGATTTAAGCATATTAAATAATATAAATAACATCACTATGACCATGAATTGTTGGGCTCTTTAGAACTCCCCAAAAGGGAGGGGTTTAGGGACGCATTTGGAAGGTTGGTTGGTTTGGTGGGAAGTTCAATAATCAAAATAAAACGGTGGCAACGAGCAATTATTGGAATGGAATGGAATGGGTGATAGGGCTATGGCCCCACTTTAGGGTTGTTCCTTTAGAAAGAGCCAGCCTGCCATCCGAGAAAAATGAAAAAGTAGAAACCACTTTCTTCAATGCTTCCGTGCTTTTTATCACAACGAGTGAGTTGCAAAAATCAAAGCACAAATTCATCTGTGTCCAAACCACAATAGCTTCCTAGAAGCTGCAGCACTTGATGTCTTTATACAAGAAGTCATGATATAATAATAATTTCATCAAACAATGAAACTTGCAGATACGCATGAAAATGAAATATTAGTGCGTAATTGACAGCCCGAGATAAGTGGCACTGCGGTTCTGTAGGTAAACACAGCCCCCAAATAGTACAATGGTACTTCATTCATATTTACCTCTAAATGAAAAAGATGCCCAGCTTTGTTTTCAAATGTCCCCACCAACCATCCTCCTTTAGGTATCAAGAAGCACTCAATTTCAAAACCCTTGAATATCGATTGAATCAAAAGCCATTGGACTGTTCAGAATCCTTTATTTTCAGGACAGTATGAAAACAAATTATAAAATCATGACACATATGGACTGTTCCCATTTAAAACAGCAAGCGACAATCATTCATTTAAACAAGTGAATAAATGTGGTGTGTGTGTGTGTTTTTAATGGTATCAAGTCAGAGCACATAATTTAATTGAAAGGAAGGCATATATAATTCAATCAAACAAATAAAACAAATGAAGTGCTCGTCGTTGATCTTTGGCGTTGTGGGGAGCAAAGAAGCTTCCAAAACCTTAGCTGCTAAGAGTTGTCAATTAGAGAGCTCAACAAATTCAAATATTTTAAATTTAATGCATGCAACAGCTCAGCTCCTAAACAGCTGTGCCCGCCAAACGGGCCAAACGCGTCGGTGTCATAATAGATTATATCTCACTTCATTTCTCTGTCTGTGAATCTCTTGTCAAGTGACCTTATAAGAAGGAGTGGTGCAAAAAAATCTTAAACGAGTACGCGTATTAGCTGTTCAGACTTCTGAAGTCTTTGAAGCGGGTTCATAATTAATTATTACAAGGTAAGGAAGGAATCCATTTTTCGGCAAGAAAGTCACTTGCAACTTGTTCCTCTGTTTTCAATGTTTAAATTCACCTCAAAACATTCCCACGAACTCCATCTGTGATCTGCCCCCCCTTTCTTCCATCACCCTCTTGGACTCTATCTCAAACGCTCCTTTCTTGTTTCGTTTGTTTGTATCATACTCATAAGTCATAAGCTAGTACTCGAGTCTTGAGCTATTGGATCGTTACGTCTCTTTTAGATAAAAATGGGAGTTGGAGGCACTCTGGACTACCTGTCTGATCTAATGGGCAGTGACCACCACCACAAGAAGAAGAAGAAGCAGTTACAGACAGTGGAACTTAAAGTGAGGATGGACTGTGATGGCTGTGAGCTTAAGGTCAAGAAAGCTCTCTCATCCTTAAGTGGTGAGTTACATTATACTTTCTCTGTTTCGCACCTCCATGTTTTTCCCCCGTTTTTCCAGCTTTCGACCCATATTCAAACTTTAAATAACATAAATGTTGATTGTAGGAGTAAAATCGGTGGACATAAACAGGAAACAGCAGAAAGTGACAGTAACTGGGAATGTAGAAGCAAACAAGGTGCTAAAGGCGGCCAAATCAACAGGGAAAAAGGCTGAGATTTGGCCCTACGTGCCTTACAACTTAGTGGCTCATCCATACGCTGCTCCAGCTTATGACAAGAAGGCTCCTCCTGGCTATGTCAGGAGAGTAGAGGGCGCTCCTTCCACAGCAATCGTGACAAGTTACGAAGACCCTTATGTTACCATGTTCAGCGATGAAAACCCGAATGCCTGCTCTATCATGTAGATGATCGATGAGAGAAAAATATGTATGTTATCCGAATAGCTCTGTAAATTTTTCAAACTTCAACTGGGTTCTTTTATTTTCTTCTCTGCTTCCTGTCCAATTTTCAAGCTTTCCTTTTCCTGGATATCCTCTACATTAAAAGGAGTAGTGGTCATTGTTTTCCTAATTTTCTCTTCAAGCCATTCAAAGCAGAGATAGACTCGAGCATTTACCTCTTTAAATACGGTCAAATTAACATGATGAACGCGTTACCTTACCAACATTATCAATTAACCTACCAAGTAGAACAAGAGTACAAGACTCAGAATCACTAATTTTCATTGTCCTAAATTCTAAGCATCCAGAACCACAGTCATTTCAGGGGAAAAAAATACAAGTGGAGGTGATAACACTGAAAATTACAAACACACTAAAGGTACAAAAGTTGCGTCCATGTTATGTTCGATACACCATACCGGACATTTCCATATCACTGCTCTCAAAATGGGTATCAATATCAATCGTGTCCAGCTGCCCGTCCAGGAAGAATAGTAACTTGAAGTTGTTGGAATCAGCAAGGAGATTCTTCCAAACAGGTTGATCCACGCTCTCTTGTCAAAATGTCCATTTAATTAATTGCTCTTATCTTTTAGAACCATGCCTATTTTAGGTATTCCTGAAGGAAAACATATCAGCAAGTGTCATGCATAGCATTGACGAATCTTTTGAAACTAAACTGCGAAGATTGCAAGAGGAAACAAAGTGATTGGGAGAAAAATGAATATGTTCTTATCCATCATGTATCAGAGTATACATGCACAGAGTACAAAAGTACAGATATGCTAGCCGTTAAAACTAAACTGACTAACTACATAACTAAGAAACTAATTTAACTAATCATATAGTACAGGTAACATCCTTCTCTTTTACAAAGAAGATGATTTGAATTATAATTAATATATACATATGGCGGTCTAATTCCTATAACATATTGAAGACACTACTTGCCATTATCTGCAATAAAATCAGTAGTTAACAAACCAAATCTCATTCAGCGTGGAATTTGTAAGATTTACCGATCACTAGGCCATAGAACACTTCGCCCATGTTCATTTGCTTTAGAAAATATGAATTGTAGGTTCCAGTCATAGCAAAAAAATGCTTGCTTACCATCTTAACTATCTAAGAATTTGGAGAATGTTTTCATGAGATCAGGAACTCACTTGATCCGAGTGTAGTGTGCTTCAGGTGCAACAATGTTTCCAACATCTTCTATCCCTTTACTTTGCATTACCAGAGTAAATACCAACAAAATTAATATCATACAGCAGAGTGGCATTGCCCGGTATATTGCAGTCACCTATACAACCAGTGTTAATCGTGTCAGTATGAAATGAGTGAGTTTCAAAATAATGACTTGAGGCATTATTTTGTGGTGGGGACGGTGATGATGATGATATGCAGTATGTGAGGTGAGCGTTTTCTTGGACCTTGATCATTGAACCAAAAAAAGAAAAATCAGGTCACTCAATAAATGAAATCAAAAGCATTCCCTCAAACGGGTAGCCCTGATTTTTATTAAATGAAATTTATGGTCTAATCTAATCGGTATCTTACTTAGATGAAGAAATGTCAAAACAGTATGAGAAAAAGCTAGAGGGACTGTGTCACTAAGTAGTCTCATTTAAATGCGTTGCAAGTCGGGCATAGCTAGAATTTCTCACTGAATGACCTAATTGGATACTACAGTCCAGCAATTCCAGGTGGTAAGTGATTATAAACAACCTGAAAAACATCCCGCAGGTTCTGGGCCGTATGCTAAATGCGGTGGAATCCTTAGTTTGCGTTTTCCGCCTGCAAAAAAATGATATAGTAACAATCTTTGAAGGCACTGAAATGCAACATATGGCACGACAATTTTTATTTCATACCTATCCGCATTGGAGGTACTCCTTCACCCCCCAAAATTCCCTGATCTAATCCCTTGATAACCTGGACATAAATACATCGGAAGGGATCAGCTGTGAAAATATATGCAACAAAAAATGGAAAGTACTTTCCCCATCCCCCTTCAAAAGTTTAAGTAAATAGTTCATATTTTTTAAGCTAACACTTCTGGAACTCTGGATGAGGCCAAGTGATGGCAATAGCATAAATGATAGCAGAGGCAAACCAAAAATGCAGAACATCTTACCTTACCAACACCTATGCGCATGGTGAGAGGTCTAGCACGTTTGTAGCTGCTATCAAACACAGTCTCATCAGCGAATCTTGCAGTGTAGTGAACCTGTAGATCATAGGTACCAATTGGCCAATTGAGATTTCTAGTGCCTACTAATACAGCTGATTAAGTACTTACTTAATACTTGCATGCTTTGAGACATTCTTGCTCCGAGTAATGCCACACAAAAATCACGAGGAACTAATTATACATCTTGTATAACTAGGCTCTAGCTAGGAACAACGAGCTTTCAAAATTTTACCGAAGTTCATATCCCTCACGTTTCACATATGCTTATAACGGTTATTCTTCAGGTACCTTGAAAGACGCTTATGCCGAACAGAACAATGAAAATGAGAGGAGAGAATCATGCAACTGGGAGCAAAAATGAACATTCAAAGTGGGGTCTCACATTAATAAGCTCGCCGAGAGGGGCTTCGTCCCCAGGTCCTTCTACGACATCGCAGTAACCAAGACCCGACTTGGCATACTTAAGCTCACATAAAGGTTCCCCAACAGTGGCGTAATATTCGATTCTAGTTGCATCGGCATCCAAGGGCGTCAGGGCCAGGACTGAAGCTGCCACAATTCCGATACCAAAGTCCAGAAAAGTTTTCCGAGCTGCACAATTGGAGGATGAAGAAAGCTTAGGCTTGGAGCTGCTGGGTTTTGAATGACAAGAGAGAGAACATGAGAGAGTGAATTTGGGAGTAGTAAAGATTTGAAGGGCATTGGGATTTGTAGTGGCAATAGGGAGAGCAGACACTGCCATTGATTTCTTCTCCGAAATAAAGCAATCTCAACTTTGAAGGAAGCCAACTTTTTTGTATGGCGCAGGCTGGCCATTTCGGCAAAAGACTCATGACAATGGATATAATCTGGGACCCGCGCAGAGCACAAGTCTTCCTTGCCCCTTTTAACCTCTATTTTTTTTTAAATAAAAGTTTTGATGAGTTAAAAAACACTTATAAAAAATAATTATAAATTATCAACCAATAAGTACTCACATCTCTAAAATTATCATTTCTCTTTTCCTTTCCCAACACTTGCTCAGAATTTCAATATCTAGTTAAAGATTATATAACAGTTTAAAAATTGAATTGAATGACAATTATTTATACTGATAGATAACAAATAAATAGTGAACTAATCACTCATTTCACTTCCATATAATATTCTGGACAGTAATTAAAAAATCACAAGCTTATATAACACACACACACACATTAAAATCGTTTATGTATCATATTATTGTTGAAAATTTTATAATTATATATTTTTTGACCAGTAAATTTAATAATTATATAAAAAAAAACATTTATGTATTTAAACGGCACCCTGTGGATCTGATGGGCCGGCAATTGGCTGATATAAGTGATCCTGCGGCCCATCTAAGTTAGAGCTTGGGCGGTTGGGGCTGAATGGCGAGATAGAACCCTCTCGTTTGTCGTTGCGGGATAATGAGGACTCATCCGGCGATGACATTGTACGTTGTCCCGCTCTGTCCGCCGAGCTCCGCGATCCATTTACGTCGCTGTCGTTAAATTGCTTCTCTTCCGGCGAAGTTCTCCTTTCAGGTTGCTCCACCGTGTGTTATGGATTCGGATCTGTTCGAGGCAGGGATGCAGGCGGTGACCTCCGAAACGGAAAAGCTGTCCGTTACTGATCCGCTCACCAATGAGTTCGCCTCTCTCAACGACGTGTGCCACGAGCTTGCATCTCTACAGGAACTCGCTGCCCGTGGCTCCTGGCGCTCGATAATCGACAAGGTTGCTCGAGCAAGAGCTCTATCACTTCTCCAAAAGCCCCACGATCACCTCACCTATCTCGCCTACAACGTCCTCGCCTTCACAAAATTGCGCCGTTTCAATGAGGCTTCTGCTGAACTGGATTCCATGGAAGATCTCAACAGTTCTCACTACAAGTACGAAACATATCCGAAAATTTATCCTAATCGATCCGGTTCCATGGTGCCTTTCTGCATTCGGTGGCTCCACGCCCTGATTCCGATTAAACTGGGTCAGCGTCAGGAAGGTATAGATAGGTTATACTGTCTCCTTGATTTTGTGCGTGATAAGTTGAAGGAGAAGGAAATGAAAGGCCTTGGTGTTTCTCTTGATGTGTGGAGAAAGAGGGAGGTGTTTGTAATGAACTCTATAATCGGGTACCATTTGGCCAACAAAGAGTTTAGTGTAGCTTTGAGTTTGATTAAAGATTTGCTTAATCGTGATTCTTCAGATGCCACATTAATTTCGAAACTGGGGTATATTCAAATGCAAATTGGTGATTTAGAGGGCGCCAAAACTTCTTTCAATCAGATCGAGGTTTTGATGAAAGAGAGTAAGACTAATGGGTTATTGAGCGAGACTGAGCTTAAGAATCTTGTGAGCCGAAATAAGGCCTTAGTATATATGGTTGGGAAGGATTACGTCTCCGCTGTGAGGGAGTATGAAGAGTGCATTGAGAGGGACCCTACGGACGTAGTGGCTATAAATAATAAAGCCCTTTGTTTGATGTATCTGAGGGATTTGTCTGATTCCATCAAAGTCCTAGAAAATGCGCTTGAAAGAGTTCCTACCGTGGCTCTGAATGAGACGCTTGTTGTGAATTTATGTAGTATGTACGAGTTAGCTTATGTCAATCACTCTGATATCAAGCGAACACTCAGCAATTGGATAGCTCGTGTTGCTCCTGATGACTTTGATGCAACATGCAGCCGAGCATGAGGTATTTTATCCCCCTCTCCCCCAACGGGGGGTCTCATTTTCCTTAGAGCTTCTTTATGTAACTTTCTTGAAACGTATAAGTTTGTGTTCTATATTAATGATACGGTGTTGACTTTTCACTTTTCCGCATTCCAACTTCAGAACAACTTTTTGTTGGTATGTTATTCACTCATTCCTCGTTTCTTTGAACAACCGTGTCTTTTAATAAGGTGCAATGTGGCTTTAATAAATAAGGCATTCAAGAAGGAAGAAATCAGGTGAATAGGAGTCATTGCGTCCCAATGAGCTTGATGCTTTGTGTGTATAGTGAGCCACTAGTGAAGTTATGGACTATACAACACATCCAACAGCTGTCATTCTCGTATGATCTTCTAATATTTGACTTCGCTTGCAAATCTGAAATTTTCTCTAAGCTCTTGGAAAAAAACCGAGTAAATAATATTTTGTTTATCTAGGTTTGTTTTTGTAAATTTTGAGCATGTCATGTAGGTCTTTGGAAATTCGAAGGTGCAGCAAGACAGTAGCTTATATCAGTTAAATGGCTCAATGAATATGCCTCTTAGCTGGTATGAGTGAAACTTTCATGCTGCAAACAGGTGGCTATTATTGATGATATATTGACTTTCTTCCAAATCACTGCTTCCCCTTCGTTCATCCTTGTCTTACACTAATCTGACAGTTTTCTTTATTTGCCTTTTTTAAATAAGAGCTTTGATCTATATTTAGTTTAATATAAAATCTATGGGAAAATCATATTATTTACAAGTCATGAATAGCGTGACTCACCTTATAGTTTATATGCAAAGTATGAATACATAATCTAGTTCCTAGTTCACTGCTCCTCACTTTTGATTCAAGCCATTTTTGTCTCCTCTTTGGTACCAACGCCTGGATCTTGCTCATCATGTTGGTGTTGAGGTTTGAGATGCACTTAGAGCCCTCTTTCTAAATATCTGGTGCTTTGAGGTATATGTAGAGTTACTGGTTTTTCCTTGGTGAATATTTTAGCTTGATTACTTGTTCATTAGTAGTTGTTGTTATTACTACTGAGGGTCCCTTCCCATGGAATTTGAACCTAAACATTGATGGTAGTTTTCTTGTGGATGATGTGGAGATGTTGAGACCTAGTGGAATAGACATATCTTTTAACAGAAACCAAGGTGGCAGAGAGGTAGAAAAAATTGGCAAGCCTCTTCAATTTGTAGCTGGCTAACTTAAAAATATGGGATTGACGCTCTCTGCTCTTTTGCCGGCCTCAGCAGAAGTTATAGATTTGATATGCAGTCGAGAAAATTTCTCATTATGTTCAAAACATTCCATATCTATAGTTTATATATAATTTAAATTCTATATATTCTATTTCTAATATAAAATTTGTAAAGAGCTACACTATTCATGAGTTATAAACAACCTCTGTCCATTTCAAACTCGGACTAATATATGGACTCAAAATCTAGTTTATGATATATGTTATTACTGGTAAATTCATTTCTTTACATGATATTAGTTATTACTAGGGTGTTCATTCCTTTTTGATCGGTCACATCCCATTTCCCGGCGAGAGGTGAGTAAAAGGGGATCCCCTTATTCAAGTCAATAAACCTGGACACTCCAGTGGGATCGAAGAATGGGTAGATTTTTCTAGTGGAAAGTTCAGGACGACTGGAGTCGTAAAGGCCTCTACCGAAGAACTTGACGCCTTCTTACCCCCTTTTATCATGACTCAAGAACATTTGAATCATAGACTTTATTAACATTTCATCTCAGATTCTTGTACATATGATTTGTGAATGGTATCGGTGATGAATTTTTATATTTATTGTTAAGTTTAATATAGGTGCTGATCGGTGACTTATTATAGCATGTATTGATGGCGGTTAGACCTTAGAGACATTGCTTATTATTACATCTTAGCCGAACATGCTCATGCCCTGCGCAAGGGTGGATCATACTCGAATGTGATTCATAACTCGTAACCAAAAATAAGTCGATGTTGTATATTAATGGTTTAAAGTTCGTTTTTGTGCCTGAGCTATACCCTCAGGTCCATTCAGTATCCTGTACTTTTCTTTGGTCTAATTAACCCCTTAAATTTTCAAAATTAGATCACTCAGTGTCCTGTTGTTAAAATGAAGCAAACAGATGTTAAGTAAGGCACAGGTGTCATCTAAGTTTTTCTTGCTAACGTCTCTGCTTATGTGGCCAGCTCATTTTCTTCCACCAACCTCTTTCACGTTTCAATTTCATCTTCTACCATCCCCGCTCAACGCCACAAAGTGTCAAGACCCCTCAAATCCCATCTTTTCCAGTGTTGCAAATTGTCGATAGCAACTAGTCAGCATCGCACCGAACTCGTCTCTTGCAGCTCGAACGTAGATTTAGGTACCGTCGCCATCACTAAGGAGTTGAGTTGTTGCAGTCGCCGCATCTTGTGGCGTTGCTGCCGTCATTCGAAGATCCCAAGGCCTTGCCTTTTTCATCTCCTTTTGTCCGACCTTGTCTCCTTAATGGCAAGAACGCGAACCTGGCAGTCGAGATTTGGATTGAAATGATGATTTTTTTTTCCTAGGATTTTGATAGGGGACCTGTAGCCTTGGTGATCGATTTTTGTGCTATTTCGATTTCGATTAGAGTGGCTTGGTTCGATTGGTCTGTTTTGCTATGATTTTTCTTGAGAATCTCTTTGATTTTTATTTTTTCAGGATTTCAATTTTGCTATGTCTTATGCCTTCAATCTTGTGTCATGTTGGATTGCTTTGTTCTAGTTGGTTTATCTATTTCTAGTTCAATTCTGGGTGTGAGTTTTGTTCAAAGTTTTCATGTGCTCTGGGTTCCAAATCAGCCTTTGATTTTTGGGTTCGACAGCTGGTGATTCAAATTAGTGAGATTCAAACAATGAAGTGTTCTGACCACAAAAGCTTTGAGAGAAGGCGATTAAGTTTTATCAGTTCTCCGTTTCTATCGCCTTTTCTCTTCCCCCACAAAAGAAAAAAATGGTGATTATAACCGATGCATCTATCAAGCTCTGATTTATTTTTTAACAAAAAAACAATTTGAGGGCATCAAGAGTATTAGCTTTTTGATCTTGAAATAGAAGAATCCTGGAACAAACTTGTCGGATTTTTTTTTTTTTCAAGTTTTTCTGGTGACGGGTGAATTTTGGAAGAAAGAGAGTTTTTTTTTTTTTTTTTAAAATATGACTTATGTGGCTTGCATGTTTGCTGAAGGTGAGAGAAGAGAGAGTAAATGGTTTTAAAAAATCTGGATCATTAGCTAACATGTATGCCAACTAGGCATTTCTGGTCAACAAAAATTATTTAACGGTCAAACCTAACTTTAATTAATGGCTAGGGTAAACATGATCTGGTTTTAAAAGTTTAGGGGGTTGATTGAACCAAAGAAGGGTATGGGATACTAGATGCATCTGAGGGTATAGTTTGAGATTAAAAATAAACTTTAATCCTATATTATTTGTTTAAGTGAAGAATGGAGAGAAAAATTTGGAATCTTGTTTCATAAGCTCATAGGGGCACTGTGATTGAACAATTACTTAAAAAGTCCATCCTCATGATGATGCAATTTAGGAGTGCGCATTTGATATATCTAGCTACAAATAGGCATAAATACTTCAATGGAAAGTTGTTAATAAAAAAGTGATTGGTAAGTTGCCATACCAAACAATATATTTACACCCAAATTGTAAATTTGAAGGTTCAAGTTTAACTCAAGTTAATTAAATTTAAAATAATTAAAAAATATTTATAAAGTTGTAGCCATTAAGTTAAAACCATTCACATTCCACCTATGATGAATAACCATGATGAAGGAAGTGGTGATTTCTAAATTCAAGAAAACTGACGATCAAAGAGTTCAGGTATCAAGCTAAGATCATTTATAAATAAAAGAGTTTTCTTTCAACAATGAGATCAGTATCAACAAATTTTCAGACTCCGTGTCTTACTATTTTATATTATTTTTTCTTTTATCATGTAGTTTTAGTGTCATTATTTTTTGTTGTATGGCTGGCATAACCTGCCACCTTTTGTTTTAATAAATGTATCTCTACTTTCTTGTATTTACCTTAATTTTTTTCATTTCGCATTCTCACATCTAGGTGAATTATAGTAAGAAAGCCTGGTTCCCCGTATTTGATTAGAAGTCATGATTTTCTATCTTTTTGAGACCCGCACCTCTGGCACGCCTCGCAACGTCGTTTTTTATTTTTTCCAAACACAATATAATACTTAATGAAGGGAAGGAACGAGGAAGAAAATATCATAGTTGGAAAGAAACCTACAAACCTCTCATATGAATGCCGATAAAGTTTTTGGGTCCAGGGAAATTTCATGAGATTGATCGCAATTATGACAGTATAATCTATTGAATAACTGATTCTGGCAAAAGAAAAACATTTGAATGATGAAGGGCGTGACTCCATTTTACCACTTGCAACTCATTTGCGCCCTTCAGTCCCGGCTACCTTGCCTTGAATTTGTATTTTGAACTTAGCAAAAGCAGTAACAAAACAAGCCTTTCTTTGTTAAAATATTGCCCCGCCGATTTGAATTGGATCCTCTCAACAAATAATTTTCCATTGAATGGGGAGTCATCCTGTTACATGATAACATAGTTGGAATAATGATTTTCTGTAGTGGATGAATTCTGTATGATATTGAATCGGGGAATGACGAAGGAAGAGAAGGGCGAAGTTGATAAGAGAGATATAAACAAGGGAGTAGGTAAATAATAATACTACCCGCCTACCTCCCATCACTCTGCCAAAACATAATCACGTTTCCTTGCCCTCTTTCTTTTTTTGGTTTTATCGACACTTCAACTAATTATGTTGCCATTTCCCAAACCATCTAATATGTTTTGAAAAAACAAAATAGTTTTTAGTTTATGTTTATTATTTAGAATTTATTTTGTACTTGTCATATAGGCAAGGAAAGTCTTTCTTTCCCTCTGAAATGAGGTGTACATGCAGATATTAGGTTAGGATAGAATAAAACTCGAGTAGTTTGTCAATGTCAAAACCTGGCAAATAGAAAAGAAACTATCGGGTGTCATCTAGTGGTGGAGGGAGAAGGGACCAGCAGGGGGCCGTGACCCCATTGATTTTTTAAAATTTTTGTGTGTTATATAGGTGTTACATACTTTTAGCCTCCTAAAATTTATAAAAATTTTGTAGTATATATGCTTTTTAATCTTAACTTCTTTTATTTTTAAATCCTGACTCTACCTTAGTGCCATCTCTAAGGATGAAAGCAGCAGATAAAATAATTGAGACCAGTGGCGCCAAATAATTGCCATAACATTCATCGTCATAAATGAGACCCGCATGTCTGTTTGATGGCCACTTGCAACATAGAATAGCACGGCAAAATACATCACAGTAAAGAACAACATATGGATGATACACAATGTAAAGGAAAATTATTATAGTTGATTTTTTTTTTAAAAAAAAAAAACGCGCTCAGTAATCAGTATAGACTGTAACATTATTGTACATGGGTTCCACGGTCCAATGATCAAGCGAAAACAATTTGTATCTCTATGCCAGATCTCGGCCCAATGGTCAGTTCATATAAATTGCACCCTCTTTTTCTGTTTACTACATCCCTCTTCCCCAGCTTCTCACTACCTCAGGTATGCTTGCATTAACATTTACAAGTTTGAGTTTGGGTTTACCTGATTTTCCAGAATTGTTTTTATTCAAAAGTGGTTTTATCATGAAGCGATTTAAAGTTTAAACCAGAAAGGTATGGCACCGTGGTTTTTATTTTCTATATATGGTTTTTTTATTTTCAAGACCATCTAGTGCAGATTTGAGGGTGATTTATTTTTCTTCTTTATCTTCCATTGTAATTAAAATGCATTTTTATTAAATAAATAGATAGATATGAAAAACATAATGAATTTGTGAGAACAAAACCCAGATGCTTTATGCTAACCATTACTCCTTTAAAAAGTAATTAAATAATCCATTTCTCACCACCGTCCTTTCATTTTATCACCAATCCTTTAGCCTCTTCTTTTGTTTCCTACAAAGTCCCCTACATGCTTTTTTTAGCTAGTAATTTAAGCCAACCTGATAGGTTAAGCCGAATAGATTTGAAAAAATTTAGGGTCATGTTTAATAAAATGATGGCATCTTAATGTGTAGGCCAAAAAAAATATGGGCCAAGCCAAAATACCCTAAATAAAAAAATTATATGTTTAAAAATATAATAAATATTAATTAATTATTTAAGTTTTAGGTTATTTTATATCAAAATACTATATATTTAAGTGCATTATTATATATATATTTAAAAAATATTTATATTGTCATATTTTTATTATTTTTAATCTATAAAATATCTCAAGATAATATTTAAAATGTATTTTAATATTAATTTTTAGATTTTAAGACCCACATATTTTTTTAAAAAAATTGCGAGTCTTGTACATCGTCTAAGCATCTAAAAAATCTATCTTATATTTTTTATAAAATAAAAATAAACAATTTTAAAAATGAAAGATACAAGTATTCAAACTATCAAAACTTAAATAAATTTAAACCAAACTTAATTATTTAAGTTTTTAAAAAAGTTTGGGCCTATTTGAGCTCCTAACTAAGTCTGGACCAGACGCAGGGTCCTCTACTTCCGCCATCTGCCTCTCATTCCATGAACTAGAGATGAAGACCAAAGCCATGTTGGTGGGGGCAAGTGGCGCTGCCTTGAACTATCAATAGACATTGCTGGATGAAATAAGTTGAATGATCTTGCGAGTCTTCCACTGCTATTTGAGAATTGATCAAGAGAATTTGAATCTAATACATAAATTTTTTTCTTGTTTATAGGCGAATTTGGTTTTATTGATTTTTTTTTTATGGTTTGAAGGCTGTTTTTTTAGTTACGGATTCTTTGATGCAATTAAGATTTTGTAATTTCACGTCTACTCTGTGTGATTTGAGACTCTCTCCATGTCTCGGACAATCAAAGAGTCAAACCCAAAACGTAAGCTGGAGGAAACTCGTTATGCATGGCGTGGGTTGAAGCCAAAAATTGATTTCATTGAACGTGGTCTACAAATGAAATTTTAGTCCAGCCACGTTTAGAGGGGAAAATGTTTTTGAGCATCTTCACCGCCAACCTGCCCCATTCCCACCAACTCTCCTTCCCACCAACCCCCTCCCTCCAACTTCTCCTACCCTTTCCCTCCCATTACCATCTAATCTGTACCAATAGTCTATAAAATTATTACTATTATATCAAATAATCCGTAAATAAATTTAAATTGTTAAAAATTGATATCAGCAACCTAAAAAATGGGCAACAATTCAAATTTTAATATGTTAATTTTTTTATATTAAACGTCATGACGTATTATATTTTAATGGTTGAAAGGGTTAGAAAGGGGAGGAAGACAGAAGGAGAAGGAGGGACGAAGGAAGACGGGTCCAATTTTTGGGGCTCCCTCTCATTTCCTGGGACTGAATCTTTTAAAGAGTCCAACTCAACATTTTCTTTATTCATTTTGTTAGGTGAATCTTTTTTCTCGGGACGGACTCTCATTTCAAGAGCTCACTTCATTAGGTGAATTTCTCTCCCAGCAATTCGCCCTCGGTTCTCCCTTCTGCAAGTTCAATGGCCAATTCATTATATCATGCGACAACCTCTCGAGTCGGACTCCGAGACCAATGTCTCGGCGTTGGTCAGGTTTCTCAGAGTGCTTTTAGATCAATTTCCTTTTCGTCGCAGCTTTCGGATTTCTCTCTCAGGTGAGCAAATTTTGGTTTTCGTTTCTCTCATTCTTCCTATAATGCTGATTAATGATAATGTATTGCTATTTTTTTGTAGAAGTTTGAAAACTCGAAAACATGTAGGGTTCAATTATAACGTCACGCTGGTGAAGGCAAAAAGTAATCTAGATGAAATAGATATCGATATTTTTCTCAGCCCAAGAGTGAACTCTGTCAAACCTTCCAAGACGGTGGCCATAAGTGACCAAGCCACAGCTCTTGTACAAGCTGGCGTTCCCGTTATTCGGTTGGCTGCCGGAGAACCTGATTTCGATACACCAGCTGTTATAGCGGAGGTGGGAGTGGATACCTTGTTTATTGAACTTATCTTGCCCTTGCTATATAACTACTGTTTAATTTTTTTCCCACCCTTAATTTTAAATACGAATAGGCTGGAATCAACGCAATTCGCGAAGGTTACACGAGATATACCCCAAACGCGGGTACATTAGAGCTGCGCGAAGCAATTTGTCATAAGCTAAAAGGTCAGTCTACATGTTCAAAGCATTTTGTAGAGACATAACTCACTTCACATGCTTTGATTTTTTCTTCTTTAATTTGTTTGTGTATGCCGGAACTGTTGTTGCAGAGGAGAACGGACTTGCTTATACTGCTGATCAAATTGTAGTCAGTAATGGAGCCAAGCAGAGTCTTGTTCAAGCAGTACTTGCAGTTTGTTCCCCAGGAGATGAGGTGAAGGGCGTTATACCCTATTAATAAACACTGGATGCAGCTGCGCTGTAAAATCATTGGCACCTGCGTGAATTACTAAACTCATATCATCTAGGGCATAGGCTTTTCAATTTTTGTTCTTTCCGGTGTCATGAAATTTTAAGTTTTCTCTCTGTTCTTTTGTGAATAAAACTGAAGATGTACGGTACCTTAGAAATTTTGGTGCAATCTGTGTGAACGTATTCACTCGTCTTGTTTACTATGACAAATTTTTTAAAATCCTTTCCTTCATGATTTACTTCTCTCTGTAATTAAATTTGAATGTATGTTCTGATTTCAGGTTGTTATGTACTTACGAGTTATCCCATTTAAAAAGTCATTGCACCCTCAGCGCATTTTTTCATCTATATCCATGTTTCTAATGTTCTTTTTGGGCAATGGATGCAAAGTTGTTATCTTGTCTCCATGAGATGCTTATAATACACCCATTTTATGAATAATTCAGGTCATTATTCCAGCTCCATACTGGGTTAGTTACCCAGAAATGGCAAGGTTGGCCGAAGCAAAGCCTGTGATCCTACCAACACGCATTTCAGACAATTTTCTATTAGACCCAAAACTCCTTGAGTCCAAATTAACTGAAAGATCAAGACTGCTAATTCTCTGTTCACCATCTAACCCAACAGGATCTGTCTACCCTAAAAAACTACTTGAAGAAATAGCCCAGATCGTGGCAAAATACCCCAGGCTTCTGGTACAATTATAGTGTTTCATAGTGTACTCAGCTAAGACAATAGTTGGGTTTTGGAGATCTGAAAGGTTTTATTGCGCAGGTTCTTGCTGATGAAATTTATGAGCACATAATTTATGCACCAGCAACTCACACAAGCTTTGCATCTTTACCAGGCATGTGGCATAGGACTCTAACTGTTAACGGATTTTCTAAGGTTAGTCTGTGGTGATTTATTTGTCTACGAGTAGAGTAGTGACTGCTAACATCCGGAGGAATAAGTTACATTTGTTACTATACAGTTTTTAGGTGTAGTATTGGTCTTTAGGCTGTTAATTCCCCCTTCTTACCTTCAGCTCAATGTCTACTATTTATTTTTTATAGTGACTGTAGATCCTAACATAATTATGATATGATGTTACAACTCCCTGGATAGGAATTTTTATGTTGAGAGTTTCTGTAGGCCTTCGCAATGACTGGATGGCGTCTTGGATATATTGCTGGTCCAAAGCATTTTATTTCCGCGTGTGGAAAGCTTCAGAGTCAGGTATGCTGTATTTTTTCATTGGCCACATCAGCTTGTAAAACTTACATCATATTTATTGATTAACATTTTCAAGAAATATAGTACATGCTTAGTTTTTATATTAAGTGGTAATATAATTGACTTATTGAAACTCAGTAATTGCTTTGGGTTAGTTTAGTTATCTATATTGACACTGCATATAACAACCTTTTTGTGCATTGTCAAATTCAGTTCACTTCGGGGGCTTGTAGTATATCTCAGAAAGCTGCAGTTGCTGCATTAGGACTTGGCAAAGCTGGTGGGGAGGCAGTTGCCACGATGGTGAAAGCGTTTAAGGAGCGGCGGGACTTCTTAGTTAAAAGTTTTAGTGAAATAGATGGTGTCAAGATTTCAGAACCCCAGGTTCAAACTCAAATATTTATTTGCTTATTGCATAATGATTATCCTCGTGGTGATTTTTCTCTCATTTTGCCCTGTACTTTTTCCGCTTCCGTTAATTAGACTTTCTTATCACACGCAGGGGGCATTTTATCTGTTCATTGATATTAGCTTCTTCTACGGAAGAGAAGCTGAAGGATTTGGCATAATTGAGGATTCTGAGTCAATGTGTCGATACTTGCTGGACAAGGGCCAGGTACACTCTTTTTGCATCACATTTTCCCCTTAGGATTAAAAGGAATTCTGCTTGGCTTCCTGTATTGCAGCAGTAAAACTTGTAGTGTCTCCGATCTTGAAGTCATTGAGTTCGTGTTGTTCTCCTGATTGACAGGTTGCCGTGGTACCCGGGAGTGCATTCGGAGACGATAGTTGCATTCGCATCTCTTATGCAGCTTCGCTCTCTACCTTGCAGGCAGCAATTGAGAGGATTAAGAAGGCATTTATTCCCCTAACCTCTGCAGCCCTTGTGTAACGTCATTGAATTGTATACTGTGTCGGTGTTCTTATTTTGTGTGTTTCATTGAGTTGGCAATTTGTAAGTGTGATAGAACGCAATAGCATTGTGTAATTCATGTTAGCCGCTGTTATTTAGCAGGATAAAGCTGTTTGTTGGTGTAATGTGCAATTGGGTAACGTCCAGTAAATACTGCTAGCAAATGAGCTGCTTGCGGAATTTGAGTTCTGTAATATCCTCTTTCACGCTTGACCAGTTAAGCACCTACTTTTCACAATCCACATGCCTGTCCTCTCGATCCACCTCGCATCCGGAACCGATGGCGATGGTTGCGGAAGTATATTATTTACATGATTGAAAGCTATTTATTTGGCTAAAAAAAAAAAGAAAGCTATTTAATATGTACAATATAAAAGCCAGAGGAATGACCCTTGGTGCTTATTTAATCCTCTTATTTTAAATTATAAGATATTTAGATAAAGTTATATATATATATATATATCAATAAAGTTTATCAAACACACTTTTCAATTTTATTTTTTTAAAATAAAAATGTGAATTTTTAAAAATGCTTTGATTCAATATTTTATTTTTAAAAGAATATTAAAGAGAGAATATAATGAAAATGATAATATTAAAAAAATATTATTAATAAAATTTTATTTTTGTCAAAATGTTTTATATTTTGAGACATTAATTTTTTAAAAAATATTTTATAATTTGAGATGTAAAGAGTATTATTTATTATGAGATTAGTATTTTTAATATTTACCTTTTTTTAAAAAAATTCAAATGATTTATTATTAGATTAGGTTTAGTAGGAAGAACTTAACACCCTTTAAACAGTGTTGAGAGTTGAATATGAAAAAAAGGAATTTTTATTTAGGTCTAATGATACTAAAAAATTTGTAATACTAAATGCGGAATAATTATCTTAAAACAGACTAGTCTATACCCCATTGCTGGTTTGAACTAGTTTAACTTATTAAATACACTTGAAATATTAATTTTCATTATAAACACTACAAACAAAAGAAAATTGGAAATAATGTTAAAATTTTTTTTATTGAAAACTAAAAATTTGAGATAAAAAATAAAAAGTGTGATAAAAATGTATTTGTTAATAAATTACATGACATGAAGAAAAATTACTTTCAGGCTTAGTAAATTAAAAAAAATATATTTGAAATTTAGTGGAGAAGAATGACCCCGCGTGGGGGATATGCTGATGGATAAATGAATGCAAGGTTCGTGATTCCTTGGTAGCCCGGGAATCAATTCCCAAACAGAGGACTCCTTGGAATGTCCCAAAATATTCACCAGTGCCCCAATTGGACAAGTTTTCCTTCCAGAAGGCGTCTCTGAAAGTAACCTGATTTCCAGGCAAACACGTCAGAAAAATGGAATGAAAAGGTGATCTTTCCTTCTTTATTCTCATATTCCTCTCTAACCTGGACTTTCTTTCCATTGGACGTTACATCCTCAAAAAGCTAACGACCCCCTTCCGCTTCATGCAAAACCCAACCCAATTACTTGAACTAAAAGACAATCAATCTCAACATGACCTGGCTTTCCTCCTCCTCCATATTTCTGTTTCAAAGGACTTCCTATTTATATTCTCTATTTACCCATCAAATCCAAGTTAAAACGAGGGAAGAGGAGCGAGAAAAAGCCTAGTGATGGAGATCTCTTGTTCATCCAACGAGTACACACCCGAAATTGTGTTCTTTGATCTGGAAACTACAGTACCCAACAAAAGCGGGCAACGTTTCTGGGTCTTGGAATTTGGCGCAATTGTGGTCAGCCCCCACAAACTAGTCGAGCTCGAGAGCTATACGACTCTCATCAGACCCAAAGATCTATCGGTGGTCTCGGTGAAACCTAGAAGATGCGATGGCATAACACGTGAAGCCGTGAAGAATGCACCATCTTTTGAGGAAGTTGCCGAAAAGATATTCAGCATTTTAAATGGAAGGGTGTGGGCAGGTCATAACATCCAAAGGTTCGACTGTATTCGCATCAAAGAGGCTTTTGATGATATCGGCAGGCCAGCGCCAATACCAGTTGGAATCATTGATTCACTTAGGATCCTAACTGAGAAGTTTGGGAGAAGAGCTGGCAATATGAAGGTACGTGAGAAATAGTAAGTTTCCGCAAAGCTAAAGGTACCAGCATCTGATTCCCGACAACAATCTAAAATTTTGTTTGTAGGTGTAGATGGCAACATTGGCTTCTTATTTTGGTCTCGGAGAGCAAAAGCACAGGTATGGATTTCTATGGCATATTGGCTTCTGCATCCCATGGGTTTAAGTGAAAATTGGATAATAGTGGTTCTTATACGTCCTTTTTGAAGCAGGAGTCTAGATGACGTTCGCATGAACTTGGAAGTCCTCAAGCACTGTGCAACTGTATTGTTTCTGGTATGAAATGCAGCTCATCTTCACATTCTGCTAGTTTTACCCTAGAAATGAATGTCCTCATATATACCCTATAATGGCGTCTGGGTGATGTCAGGAATCAAGTCTTCCAAGCACATTGCAGAGTAGATGGTATGGGACTTCCAATATTATGACGCGAAGCAGAACTAATGGGAAATCGCCATGCAAAGAAGAAACAAGCAGGAAATCTCATCCCCCAACTTCTCTGGGATATCACAGGGCAGTCCCTTATGCAAGGGGAAGTTTGCAAAAGGTTTTATTGATTCAACTATTTATTTGCACACGCTAGCGTGTTTATCTCGTGTGTCATAGAGATTAGCTGCTAGCAATGATGATGAAATTCCTTGAAACGCAGATGACGGAAAGAGTGAAGGGCCTTCTGTGTAAAGCACAAGGGCACCAGTCTCTAAACCATATTCTTAAGCATTCTCATACATTGCTAAGGTGAGGCAGAAGAATCAAGACGGACATGCCACTTGGAGAAAAGCTGATTGTTTTCAACTTTAACAAAGTCCCTGTGGGGAAGAGAAGGCCACGCGTTTTTTTCAGTTTGTAGAACAGGATATGCATGCGGAAGAGGGTCGTTCTATTCTTGATTCATCAGTTTCTTTGTTCTCCGCTACAGCAACAATTCAAGACGTATCTGTGAATGGTCAAGACTCCGAAACACTGAAAAGGAAACAGGAGTGGCGGTTCAGATTCGTCTCCCCATATTGCATTTATTTCTTAATTCAGATTCTTGTACATAAATTCAAAATGACGCGTATAACATTAACATCAATTCGTCCAATAAATAACAAGGTTCCCTGTATGTTTTCCCACTACTGCAGAAGCGAGTCAATCTGAATTCTCTGTTCCGTTTCTTCCCAAACATGATTTATAATGTTTCACGCGTGGCATAAATTCAAGCCTTACGAATCACAATAGGCTGACGTCGGTATTCAGATTTATAGTATAACCAAATATCTCTTTTTAATTACCATGATTTTATCCCAAATTCATTCTATTCTGATTCTAGCTTCGTTTCAATTTTGTAAGAATATTTTTAGGCAACAAGGTAAGGAGAAAGAAGACAAAGAGGAACACCCGATTGCGTAAATTTATCACACGCATCAAACAATTCTTTTAGTAGGCACACATGACACACCATTATAGTACAGGACCACCCATACACAGTTTCCTGTGCCTCTGATTTGGGTTGAATTATTCTCGTCCCACAGCATACACACAAGACTACCAAGGGACTGCAAATCCTAGAAACAGACATCATAGGTATTAAGACACCACACTATAAGAAACTCGTCAGGGAGCTAGGGTCTTGTTCCGTTTGTTCCATGCATGTATCCTGAGACTCAATCCAGCTTACACCCAGCAGCTTCTGCAACGGTCAAGAAGACCCTCCCACCAATTGTTCTGACGAAGTTAGCAGCCTTCAGCTTGTGAATCACTTGCCACCTTGGGTTGGCAATTGCTAACTGAGAGAGACAACCTCCAAGTAGGTCAACAGATGAAAAACTGCTACATTACTGCATCACATCTAGGCAGGTCTACCTTAAGAATTACTGGGCAATGCTTACCTGCTTCCCCTGTAAAACCAAACTCTTGTACAGTTCCTCTAGAGAAGCAATTCCTGACGTGTCGATATTCACCAAATCTGCAACAATAAAACAATGGACCCATCATTTGAATGTTACTAAGGAAGGATGATAAGCAAACACTACGCAAGAACCATCCTTGTTAGAGACAACGGATCTTGTACACTTGTCATTTATCAGTAAAAGGGTTCTCATCTTTCCTCTCTTTTTGGGCCCATAAGGAGTAAGAAAAACTCACTGGAGGCGTCGATGATTACAAGCTGAATTGTCCTTCGGGTGCCTCCCTCGTTCTCATCTGCTGCTTCTTCATTGGCGACCCATTTCATGATCCTTTCAAACAAAATTAACCAGAAGAATCAGCCGCTGTTCATAATTAGATGTTCTTCTATAATTGGAAGGCATGACCGCGGAAGCACTTGTTGCGTGTGAAAATACCTTTCTCTAACGAAGTTGGCATTAGCAAAGCAAAGCAAGGCAGACTTGACACGTATTATTAAAACTCCAGCAGTCTCAACAGCCATAGGATACTGGTGGACATCGCAGAACAAGTCAGTTTCAGGGAGTCTTCCGAGAGTTTCTGTGCCGGGTCGAATTGATATCATTATTATATTTGAAAAGGATATCACCACCTGTAAATTCGCATCAGCCCAATTTACTGTTTGAATTCACTCGTCAAATAATTCATATCCCTGAACCAAGGTAGCTAATCCAATTCACCCAACATTGTCAATGAACAGGTCTTATTTAATTTTCTTTGAAGATGGAGAGAACGAAAGCATACTAATTGTCTCTCCATAACATTAGATCGTCTTTCAATCAATTGGGTCGAAGTACAGTGAACAGTTGAGGGAATTCAAAATCATAGCATTACTTGTCTTCAACTACACTTATGCGCTTTGCATCACGCGTATTAACTAGTGAAATGTGTGTGGTATATATGCTTTGGTTCTTGCTACACAAAGGACAAAAAATGGCCATTAAAGCTGTTATGGTGGAGGACTTTCAAAATGTGATGGGCTGAATGGCTGAATGACGCCATAAGGTTCGAAGTGATCCTCCATAATATGTAGTGACAGCGACTCAAAGTAGTGTCCCTGTTGATATGCTATTGGTCGATGTCACAATGAAGTGTTCTAAAGATTAATCAAACCTAAATTAAACACAACTTCTTCTGATTAATATCAAATAATTCATAACCCATTATATTATCAATATGAAACAAGAAAAGTCAACGCTGCAGAAGTGGTATCAAGAATTATACTTACGGCCACCAGGAGGCCAATCTCGACGGAAAAGAAGAGGACCCCAAAGAAGGCTCCAGCGCAAGCAAGAAAATCAAGCTTATCAAGCTTCCAAATTCTGAAAGCCTCACTGAAGTCTACGAGTCCTGGGAGGGCAGAAATGATAATGGAGGCGAGAATCGCAGTTGGAGTGAAATATAAGAGCTTCGTGAAGCACAGCAACGATATAACGACCGTAATAGCCATCACGATATTTGAACCTGCAGTTTCACAACCCGCCGCCACATTCACCGCCGTACGCGAAAACGAACCTGCAAATTATCGTTTACTCTCACTGCCTAATCCTTGAAACGGTGCAAAAAGAAGACAAGCCTCTATTACGCCAACAATACAGAAAAGAATCAACGGAGGAAAGGAGCTGACGAATCCATCTCTATTGGAAATAGCTCACCAGCTGCAACATAGCATGAGGTGAAAGATCCTATGATGTTCATGAATCCGATCGACACCATTTCTTTGTTTCCATCAAGGTGGTATCCCCTCATGGAAGCAAAAGATCGGCCAACTGAAACCGATTCCTACAGTCTTTAAAATTAGAAAGTGGTACGAACTCTTTAAATTTACGATTTTAATGGCGTACAATGTGGTGATGGAGGGAGCACGTGCTTACCGTTAGTGCAACAACAGCAGCAACCAGTCCGATTTTGGCGACTCGTGCAATATAGGGGCTGTTCAGCTCTAATTGATTGACAGAACTTGGATTCAGCCCTCCTTTTACGTGTTTTATAATATTAACTCCATGTACATCAGCTCGGGTCAGAAAAACAATGAGGGTTGATAGCATAACTGATGCAAGAGGGGTGATTGCTGGCAGCCAGAATAGCTTTCTCTTCCTTTTACCCTGCTAATATTAGCCCCTTCATTAGACTGATCATGAATCCAAAAGTCATTTTGAAAAGAAACATGTTGTAGGCTTATCAGCACTATCACTCACCAGAAATCTGGATACGAGGATGAACACAAGGAACGAACACCCCAGCACCAAATTGCTGTAATTCCACTGCAGTTGAGAACAAAGAAGGCATTACGATCGTTAAAATGTCACCAGTTTTCCTTCGATGTTTTATTTATTTATTTATTTTTGAAAGGAGTTTTGTGTTATGTTGTGGCTAAGCTAGTTCTGCACTTTTGAGGTAAATTTAGGAACAACGTATGGAGCTATTACTGTACGTTCTTATGAATTGCAGGGTCTTAATTTGGTTTCTTCCTAAGATTTCTAAGGATTTATATATTTGCATTACAATATTACTGATGAAATGGCCATTTTCCCCATACAGGAACTGGATTATATATAGCTGCATTAAAATGGCATTCAATAATCTTTCCCTCGATTGCTATTTCAATGAAACTTCCAGAAAAAAGAATATAATCACTGGATTTGATAGTTTATGATAAGAATATTTGAAGTAGGAAAAAAAAATCTCCGTCAATTAATTTTAATATTTTGATAAAAGATCTGATTTGATTTACATGTGTCCCTGCTCTTGGCCAAGGTTTAAGGAAATTTTCCTGTAGATATGGATTACAAAAAGACTATATTGAGTTGAAAATTTGATTAAACTTGACCAATAATCGTAATTGTATTTCTGGCGAGGCCAATAATTGTGTTGGTTAGTTTTTAGTTGTATTTTTATTTAAAATGAGAGAGAGAGAGGGAGTTTCAACAAGAGTCAAACTTGGCTTATCTTAAGAGTAATATAAAGGCCAATATCAGAGTTTTGTTTGGATAAAAAAAAGTTGGAAGCATCATTACTGTTGCCTAAAATATGTTTAAACCGGGATATAAGAAATATGGACAAGGTATAGTATATAAAATATAAACGTACTGGAAGATCAAGTGATTCGTGAACAGACATCGTGACGGAGACGACGTCGGTTTTGTTGGTAAAACGTTGGAACCCAAAAAGGCCCTTCAGCTGTTGAAGACCAATAACTATGGCCGCTCCGGCCGTGAATCCTACTGTAGCAGCATGCGACAAAAATTCCAGCAAGAATCCCAACCTATATATATTATTAATACATGTTCATATAAACAATTTTCCTAAGTTAATATACTCATTTCTTAATTATACGAGGTATCTCTAAATTCTAAAAAATCCCACCTCATGAGTCCAAAGGCAGCCTGGAATATGCCGGCGAATAGAGTTGCGGTCAGAACAAGCTTTGTGTAACCCAATGGATCAGTAGAAGGGTCTATTAGTTTCTGAGTCATTGACGACAACAGCAATGAAACTACGGCCACGGGTCCAGTTGCCACCTCTCTTGAACTTCCCATTATTGCATAGATGAGAGGCGGCACAGCACTTGTATCTAGTTGGTTTTATCCACCATCGATCATCAGCTTATTTCAATTATTTCTTCCAACAAATTTATTCATTTATTTTAATAAAATCAACTTACAAAGGCCATATTCAGGATCCAGCCTTGCTAAAGTTGCATACCCAATGCCCTGCATTGAACAAACAAGCAAAAAGAAATGAGGTCCTCATGGTTTGTGCCAGTTTATTTACAGGTGGACCGGCTCGAGAATACCTGGGGAATGCAGAGACTTGCAATAGTGAGACCTGCGAGTAAATCGTTCCTGAAACTTATGACTGAATAGTTTCGACCCCAGTCAAGAATAGGAAAAATCGCCTGAAGGAATGAAAGCACGAGTTTGGGTCCGGTTTGGCTTCTGAGACTAGACGCGTTTCCTTGATACTGTGAAATGATGCTGCTCACGGAGCCTACAAGATCATGCCACAGACCCGGGGGTTCAGGAGCATTGAGAACCCACAGAGACCATTCATTAGGCTCCTCACCTTTCTTCTCAATGTCCACCACCACCCCGTCCTCCGGTGCGGCTGAAGAACCCATATTTGATTGAAGTGTTTGGGAGAACATTGTCCCCTGCACCAAAATTACTCTCTTCTACTCTAACATTGAAGTCGCGGTAATGAACAGAGTCCCTCAAAGCTGTGATTCAAGCGCACAAGCTGTGAACCAACCGATACTGTTTTATATATACGAAAAAGTGTGTACTTCCAAAGCGTGGACTTAGGCGTATAATATGAAAGATCAGTGGGGTGAAAGGGTAGTGGCATGCTGGCGAAAGGCTGGAAGTCACTTTTCGAAACATGTCCACTAACTTGGCAGAACAGTTCGGTGGCTAAAATAGATTCATCACAAGTGCTATTGTTGGTCCGGAAAAAAAAAATCAGGAATGCTGGTGGTCGTGCTTTTCTTCGGGCTATTGCCCCTTTACACGTGTTATTTAAACTTCTCAAGATCCCTGCCAGCACGTAACTATCTATCTATTCCTGATATCAAAATTTGTGGATTCTATATGTTAATGATGTCCTCTAGTTGTTTCAAATTGAAAACTCCGCTAGAGACAGAGCAAAGTAATGTGATTGGGAGGAGAGTCCAATGGGATTGAGGAGAAATGGAAACTTTCTAGATTGCGCGCAAGATCATATACGGCACTGCATTGGTGTTATCATAGCATTATCCTTTTCATTCTTAAACTGAAAATGATGTATCCCTAAAAAAGTGTGGAGACAAATAGATACTATCCGGGCATCCGCGCAAAACTTCATTGTTTTCTTGCCCAATGTACATAATAAGTTTTTGAGCCCGTTCTTGGTAGCACTTTCGCAAATCGCAATTTGGCCTACTTGGATCTTTTCAACTTCGATTGTTGCCGGCATGATAATCGCACGCCTATTTGTCATGCGGCTCTTTGTATTTTCGCAGATCTCTATACCAATATAGTAGGGCTGTGTCATAGAGATTATGGCACGATATATATCAAGCTATCTTGTCTACTCATGATAACAAGTGGAAACGCCTAACAAGTGTAACAAGTGTTTGTTTATCTTGGAAATGCGTAACAAGTGTTTGTTTATTATACGTGTAGAAACATAGGGGAACGTCCGGTACATTCAAGCTGAAATTTGGGGAGTTTTTGATGGCATGTGTCTTGCTTGGGATATGGGATTGTGGAAATAACCCATGTCTATGGTGAATGTAACTTCTGTGCTGACTTACATTGGTTTTCTTAAAGACCTTGGTTAGATTTCAGGTCCAAAAGAAAGAAAAATTAGAAGGGGGGCCTCAACTGGTTTTCTTAAAGTCCTTAGTTGTTATGTAATAGCCCTCTTGATAAATAACTGAATAGTATTTCGTAAAAAACTGACCCAACCCAGACGACGACTTAAGTAGGAGCTCATCAAGCCAAATTATGGGAAACATAGGGCTCCTGAGCATGCATGCAAAAATAACCCATGATTACTTCAATCAAATCAAAGGTTACAAAGGCACAGCGTCCTTCATGTTTCGTGAAAAGATATCCTACCAAACTATGTGACTACTAACAATTGCAGAACAAACAGTAAACAACAGGTCCTCTAACTGCTGGCAATAATTAAAGATCCCGCGCATTACTCCTCGCCATATCGATATGATGGGACCTCTTTAGATGAACCACTACGTTTCTTACGAGGTATGCATTTCCCTTTCATCCTTCCCTCCTTCTCTTCCCCTTCTTCCTTTACCCTGCTGCTGCTCCTGCACGGTAATCACGATTCATAAATGTCGTACTCTAAAACAATATATATATATATATATATTAAGAACAGCACGACACCTTTCTTCGTTATAGGAATTGGACTTCTTGAGGATGGGATGAGCCTGGGATGCATTCCAGTGGACCTTCATGGACTCAACGAGGCTGCCGCTAAAATGTTCCTTCTCCTTTACTTGGGAATTCTCGAACCTTGGATTCTCCGAGATGTATTTGATCATGTCGATCTCCAAAAATTTCTCTGCACTCTTACGCACAGCCACCTTCCCCCCATTCTTCTTCTTCTTCACCACATCACTCACGCACGGTAAGCTTTTCGCCTTTGCCACTGCTGAGCTCCCGCACACTATCAGTTGCAACAGCACCGAGTTATGACTCCCTGCTGACCCCAATGTCCCTTCGTTTTTATAGGCCAGGGTGGACTTGGAGCAAATTGTCAATGACATGTCGTTAGCGATGTCCTTGCTTGTGTCGTGGTGCCCCTCAAGTTCATCGGTGGATATACATCTGGAGCTGAGAGAGAATAGGGCGTGGTGGCAGAGCTCGTATTGCTGTTTGTCTCTCCATCTTCGTACTCTTCATCTCGCTCTTCGTATTCTTCATTATATCTTGGCGAGCTTGTCTAGAATGGCTTGCGCTTTAAATGCATATTAGACTCTTGATGTATTCCCTGCCTATCGCTCAACTGAAGCTGCTGAAATCTTTCTGCAAATAATAATAATAATAATAATAATAATAATAATAATAATATAAAAAACCTAGCCGTTAACTACCTACATAGAGTCATTAGGGGATGTTATGTGATGATGGTAAGGAACCCCCTAGAGGACACTGACCAGAGCAAGCTCGGAGGAGTTTAGAACTTTAGATCCTTTGATAACATACTCTGCTCCATCAGTGGGATGAATAATATCGTTCAGTCCCAAGTCATACCACACGTAACCGCCCTTGTAGGTCCTTGAACCAGCAAAGTCACTATTTTACACGGCAACATCATGTGTCAAAGTAGAACCAAGAGATCCGGGAAGCAAGAGCAACACCTTTTACAAGACCCCGAATATAGAGAAGGCATGACACTCCCCCTGAGAGATATGAGCCGATCCGACACATCTTTTATCATCATCAAATTGCAATGTCAATAAATAATTGAACATCTTCATTCGGGCACGCTAATTAATTTGTGGAGCGAAATAAATATGCAAGCAGCGTTATTTACGCTTCAAACGAAGAGGCTCCCTGGGAAGAAGGGCGACTTCCACGGAATGGGGATGTTCCAAAAGGCCGTTACGTGAGAGGTAGTAAACAACTTGAACCTTCTTAACGGATTTGACCTTTCGGGGGTTGACGTTGTAGGTTTTGGCACTCTCTGGGCTGGAATGCCTGCTTCTTCCCGAACGAAAGTCCATTCTCCAACACTAGCTGTTCTCTTCTTCCCCTGCCTCACTCTGCTCTCGAAGGGAACCCCAGCCTTCCTCTTCAGTTATTTATACCGAGCGACAAAGAAACAGAATGAAAAGGGGACGGAAGAGAGAAGGACTCACGTTTCTCCAAGAGACAGTACAGTACTTTAAGAAAAACAGAGCATGAAAACAGGATGGTTCTTATAACTGCAAGCTAGGTTGCATAGATACGAGTATGAATATCCAATACGATATGGTATGATACAGAGATACGGTAAATTTTTAAAATTTTAGGATACGGGTACAGAAATATTTGAATCTTGTATTCCAACTTTATGAGTCACAAACACATGAAATCCTAGAATAAATGAAAATCTTAAGTTACAAGGCTCGGACAAATCACAAATCAATGCAGAGGGCATATAAGATTGCCAGTACCATAAAAAACGAGATGGACATTTAACAATGTTCTAACTCTATCTATAAAACCAGTGTTAGAAATACAAGCTTGCCAAGAATTTGCTATAGAAGCTATCCACCTGGAAGAATTATCAAAGAGGCAAATCAAGATAACGTGAATATATATATTTTGACTACAAATTCAAAATAGCTTGCAATGAATTTCAGTTACAGTACAATCAAATAGTATCAATGTAGAAAATACAAATAAACCTTTGACTACAAATAAGTTCCAATAGCCAAAAAAAAAAATTATATTGTTCTATCAACTTGATATTAAATTGCACTTCATTTCTTTCTTGATCCATTTTCTTATTAACACCTTGAAAATTTGTAGAACCTTCATTAGTGGCTCTATAACTCCCACTTAACATGACAATGTCATCCCAATTCTCTATTTTTCTAGTTTGAATATTTGAAAGCCACTTGCTTCAGAAAAAATATAGGAAAAGAATAAAAGTTATTAAATGAAACATTAATAACCATTAAAACTTTACATACCTCAAATTTCAAAGTAAATTTCATGCTATTAAAAATCTACATACCTAAACATATTCATTCCATTTGACAACATCTTCTATCTCAATCACCACCATCTTATCATCATCCCATTTGAACTTTGACCTTGTTCTTATAGTAGTGATAATTGAATAATTCCTTTTACAAGCCTTCATTCTATTCACATTACTAACCACCAGACCTAATTTTGCATTTAACACATCTACTAGAACTTGATATGCTAGAGGTTTTCATTCCCCTTCACTCTTGTTACTTGGTGCTATTTGTTCATATAGCACTTCGGCAAACAAACTATCCATTTCTCTATTCCATGTGACATATGATCTTGATTTTTCCTTTCCCTTTCCACTTGTTGGTAATCTTGAATCGGATGATTGACCCTGTGCAATAACTTCAAATAGTGTTAACTGAGAAAGTGAAGAGGATGATCGAATGCGCCTATTCCTTGCTCTCAACATTGCTTGAATTTGGAATTCTTTGTTGCTCATTTTCTATTAACAAAGATCAAGAAGGCATTTAACAGTTACAAGTTACTATCAAGAGTAAAAAGAAGAATAACAAATTAAACAAATTAATGGTTTATAAATAGTTCTTCACACTCCACATTGAACTTAGCAGTCACAAGTCATCAAAATAAGGCACTTGACAATAAAAATCATCTCTAATATGTATTGGCTTCTTGTAAAAATGCATACAAGTCTTATTCTTCTTAAATTGACTGACCACTTATTCTTCTTCTTTTGGAGTGGGAGTATATTGGTGAAATAATAAAGATACTCCTCAGAATAGTTAAGCTTTGCGAGGATTCTAAGCTGTTTAAGAAGCACTTTTCTGTTCTTACAATCATTTATTCCTCGCTCTTGTGGTGATTTGATATTTTTTATCATAACAAGTTGAGTATGAATTTCATGAGAAGTAAACAAGGAGAGAACCTTAGAACTTCTATATGAGGTAAATGGTTTAATATCAAGAAGGAAATTGTGAATCATGTTTATGAACATCAAGAGGTAAATATAATCAAAAGCAAGAAATAGAAAACCGGACTGTATGGATATAATCCCTACGTTGGCCCTCAAGATTAGGCTACTTAATAGTTAATACCTATTAAAATAATTTCCTTCATTTAAGAACCCAACTAGCATTTTTCATACATCTCAACACAATTAATTGGAGCAAAAAGAGTTTGTCATCCAAACAGAGTTGTTTAAAAAGTACCACCTTCAGTTAAAGCTTTAGTGTAGATGTGAGGAGATGATATATTCAAATTCATCAAATGATGAATTCTCTAGCTATCCTTCACTGCAATAGTTGTTAAGACGGAGGAAAGTAAGCAATAAATCATCTTGCAATCCAGAGCTACCAAATATATGAAACTGATTCAAACAAATGATTTTTCTGGTTGAATTATGAAATGGAACAACCTAATTGCAGGATACAATTAATTATCCGCTTGGTACAAATTCATATTCCGTAGAAGCAAGCACCAAAACTAATCTCCCATAATTTGAATACAAAACGAGTTATGTTTCGATAATTTTTAGCACAAACTAAAGCACAAGTTAAAGACAACGTAGCAACGCAAGAAAGAATGATGGAACCATCCTTTTTAGCACCTGGAACTACACTTCTAAGGGTGTCAAGATGAGCACTGATCCTTGTTCGCCTCTTCCAAATGTGAGTTGCTATCAAAATGACAAAGTGCTGATGACAAGGTGTTATCAAAATGATAAAAGAAAATGCCTGTTTGGCAGCTGGCTGTAGGAATTGATCTCAACAATCTGCTACACATATATCCCTATCCTATTGGTTCCCAATATCCAAACAAACAAATCATCTTCAACTTTGAAAATCAAAACTATACTGACCCCAATTCTTTCCTCTAGGATGCCACTACCCCACAAAGCCGCACACTTGTCTTAACCTTGTTTACTAATCCCTAGCTTCCATACCCTTTTTATCAGTCCTATAGTTGTAATCATTGCCCGTAAATTCTTCAGGAGAGATTTTAGAAAACAAACAGATTGTAAATTTTAAAGTATCTAACCCTGAATGCCATTTTGATTTGTGGGCAAATTTTCACTCTCCAAAAACAAGTACTTTAAGCATCAAACCTTCTAACTATTCTTAACACTTTAAGGAGGATCCCCTTAGAATTACTATCTACTTCTACTGCCTTGTACTTGTAGCTAACCTGTCATTTCTACTCAAGAAGCAAGTTGAGCTTCTTCATGATGAAAATCCATATTGAATACAAAATTAATTAAAACCAAACAAATAGAACATTTCAAATGTACCTGGTAGCTAATAGCAACTATTTATGGAAAATCACCATTTTAATTCAAAAGTTCACTTATTGAACTAGTGTCCTCTTTAAATTGCATGCAAGAACTAAAAAAATGCCAATATATTTTTTAGCCACGCCAGAATTTATCGGCACTCGCATGTAATAATGTAAAAATACGAGCGAGACCTATAAATTTTTGAAAAATTAAGTCGCACATTTTCTTGTGAGGAAAAATGTGCAGTCGCATACACCAAACAGAAGATATCAATTCAAGGAAGTCAAAATAAAGAAAGGAATAGCTGGAGGAGGGAGATCTAGATGAAAAATAGTGACCTACATTTTGGCGTGAGAAGTGGGTTTCTTCTTGTCTTTGTTGGCAACGGTGGTCAAAGTCTTGTCGGTGATCGCACCCTTCAAGAAAATGAGAATAGAAGAAGTAGAAGTTGGATAGAGTGAGGATCAGGAACGAGTTAGAGACCACATGAGAGACATAAATTTGAAATATTATGTGTTCAGAAGGGATTTAATAATGAAAGAATTTGGATAGCTCAAATTTAAATTCACATATTTTTAAGTGCCAAAATAAGAGACTTGGTT